TGGGACTGGAATGGGATGGGCTTGAAGGGCCCTTCCCACCCAAACCATTCTGGGATTTGGGACACTCAGAATCCATCCCCAGGGATTTTTATGGAAGTTGGGGATGGCGAAGGGAAGGGAGACCCTTCCTGGAGTGCTGAGGTTCCCAGTGAAGCCCCCAGACCCCAAAATCCCTTCCTGGAGAGGAGTCGGGGTGGGGATGGATCCAATGGCAGGCTGGGAGAGCTGGGAATGGAGGGAATTCCCTGGAGAGGGAGCCTGGGGTGGGATTTTGGGAAGGGATTCCCAGAGCAGCTGGGGCTGCCCCTGAGCCCTGCAGTGGCCAAGGTTGGACACTGGGGCTGGAGCAGCCTGGGACGGTGGGAGGTGTCCCAGGTGGCCCAGGATGACCCTTAAGCTCCTTCCCATCCATTCCACGATCCCAAACACCACCTCCAGCAGCCACATTCCCACTTTCCCCACCCAATCCCAAATCCCAGCACCTACCAGTCAGCCTTTTTCAAGCAGTCCACGCTGGCCCCTCTCTCCAGGAGGAAGGACACACATTCCAGGTGCCCCATGGACGCAGCCTCATGGAGGGGTCTCTTGTAGTCCCCATTGGCCACCTCCACGTCCATCCCGACCTCGTGGACCAGGAATTCCAGCACATCCCGGTGTCCCAAGCGAGCTGCGTGGTGCAGGAGGGAATCCCCCAAACGTCCCCAGCGCCAGCTGCGAGCCTCTGGAACCTCATCCAGCCTCAGCTCATCCCGCAGGAGAGCCAGGTTTCCCTCCTGGACCAGCCTCAAGAGCCGCCGCAGCCTCTCCTGCTCCACCATGGAGCCGGGCCTGAGTGGAAGGAGGTAAAAAATCAGGATTTTGGGAAATATCCTAGTTGGTTTGGGGGTTTTGGTAAGGAAGATTGAGGTTTTCCCTCAGGAGAAACAGAGTCTGGTGTCTACTTCCAGAAAAACAGGAGCTTTTTTTTTCCCTCAGGAAATCCACAAATCCCACAGCACATCCAGGTTTCCCTCCTGGACCAGCCTCGGGAGCTGCCACTGCCTCTCTTGCTCTGCAATGGAGCCTGGCCTGAGGGGAAAGGGTCCAAAAAATTGGGATTTTGGGGAATATTGTGGTTGGTCTGCAGGGTTGGGATAAGCAGGAATGAGATTTTCCCTCAGGAGAAACAGTGTCTGGTGTCTACTTCCAGAAAAATGGGAGCTTTTCCCTCAGGAAATCCACAAATCCCACAGCACATCCAGGTTTCCCTCCTGGACCAGCCTCAGGAGCCGCCACAGCCTCTCCTGCTCTGTCATGGAGTTGGGCCTGAGGAGAAAAGGGCCAAAAGATCAGGATTTTGGAGGATATCCTGGTTGGTTTGTGGGGTTGAGATAAGCAGGAATGAGGCTTTCCCTCAGGAGAAGCAAGGCCTGGTGCCTTCTTCCAGAAAAATGGGAGCTTTTCCCTCAGGGAATCCATAAATCCCACAGCACATCCAGGTTTCCCTCCTGGACCAGCCTCGGGAGCTGCCACTGCCTCTCCTGCTCTGCAATGGAGCCGGGCCTGAGGGGAAAGAGGTAAAAAAATCAGGATTTTGGGGGTATCCTGGTTGGTTTGGGGGGTTTTGATAAGGAAGATTGAGGTTTTCCCTGAGGAGAAGCAGAAACCTGTGTATACTGCCAGAAAAACATGAATTTTTCCCTCAGAAAATCCACAAATCACACAGCACATCCAGGTTTCCCTCCTGGACCAGCCACAGCAGCCACCACAGCCTCTCCTGCTCCAACATGGAGCCGGGCCTGTGGGGAAAGGGTCCAAAAAATTGGGATTTTGGGGAATATTGTGGTTGGTGTGCAGGGTTGGGATAAGCAAGAATGAGGTTTTTCCTCAGAAGTAGCAGAAACCAGTGGCTACTTGCAGAAAAATGGGAATTTTTCCCTCAGGAAATCCACAAATCCCACAGCACATCCAGGTTTCCCTCCTGAACCAGCCTCAGGAGCTGCTACAGCATCTCCTGCTCCACCACGGAGCCGGGCCTGAGGGGAAAGAGGCAAAAAATTGGGATTTGGGGGAATATTGTGGTTGGTTTGGGGTGTTGGGATAATTAGGAACGAGGTTTTCCCTCAGGAGAAGCAGAGCCTGGTGTCTGCTTCCAGAAAAATGGGAATTTTCCCCTCAGGAAATCCATGGAGTGGCCTCTCCCTCAGGATAAGCAGCAATTTCCTTCCCCCTCAGAATAATGAAAAAGTTTCATTCTCCCTCAGGATAATGAAAAACTGCCCTTCAGAAAACTGGGATCTGGCCTTTCCTTCAGTAAAAGCAGGAATTTTCCTCTCCCTCTGAAATTCAGGAAGCAGTCACCCCTCAGTAAAAGCAAAAATTCCATTATTTTTCCTCGGGAAAGTTAGGATCTGGTCTCTCCCTCCAGAAAATAGGATTGCCTTTTCCTTAGAAAATCCAGGATCTGACATTTCCCTTAGGAAAAACAGAAATTCCCTTTTCCCTCGGGAAAACCAGAAGTTTCTTTTTGCATTGGGATGCCCAGGAACCTGTGGAAAAGTAGAAATTCAGTTTCCCTCTGGAAAATCAGAAATCAGCCTTTCCCTCAGGAAAATAGGAAAGCCACATCTTCTTTAGGCAAAAAGAAATTCCTTTTTTTCCTTAGGGAAAACAGAAACCAAAATTCCCTTAGGAAATCCTGAAATTCCCTTTTTCCTCAGGGAAAAATGGGCAATTTCTTTTTACTCAGGAAAACCAGGACCCCACCTCTTCCTCCAGAAAACCCGAAATTTCCTCTTCCTTTAGGAAAACCAGGAACTTCCTTTTTCCTTGAGAAAAGAAGGAATTAGCTACTCCATCAGGAAAAAGAGAATTTTGCGTTTTCATATGGAAAACCAGGAATGGGTTTCTCCCTCAGGAAAACCAGGATTTTCCATTTTCCCTCAGAAAAATTAGAAACCAGCCTCTCCCCCTGGTAACACAGAAATTCCCATTCCCTCTGGGAAAACTCCAAAATTCCTGTCCCTCTTAGGAAAGCCAGAAACCAGCTGGAAATACATAAATTTTCTTTTTTACTCAGGAAAACCTGAAATTCCCTTTTCCCTCTAGAAAACGAATAATTTCCTTTTTCCTGCGGATAGTCAGACACCAACCCCTCCTCCAGGAAAAGCAGCAATTCCCTTTTCCCTCCCAAGCGAACGGGAAATTCGCTTTTTCCTCAGGAAAAAAAACAAAAATTCCTTTTTTCTTCAGAAAAAAAAAATAGAAATTCTTTTTTTCCTCAGGAAAACCAGAAATTCCCGTTCCCTTCGGGGCTCCCGCAGTCCGGGATCCCTCCCTCATTCCCTCCCCAGCTCATCCCGGACCGCGCAATTCCCGCGGGAAAATTCCCGGTTTTTCCAACCCACCCGCGCGCCGCGGAGCGCTCGTGACGTCACGCGCGGAGATACTGACGTCACCGCAAGGGGAGAGGTAAATAAACACCGCCCAACCCGGAAGTGCTTCGCCATTGGACAGCGCTGTGCGCTGATCTGGCTGCTGATTGGGCAGTGGGGAGGGGGTGGGGCCGGTGGAACTCGCGGGGCCGCGAGCGCCGGGAGCGGGTGAGGAGGGCGCGACCATTTCGGGGCAACGTGGGGGGGACGAGGAGGGGGTTTCCTTGGGAATGGGGTTTGTTTGGGAATGCGGAGCCCTTGGGAATGAGGGAATGCTTGGCACGGAAGGATTGGCACTGAGGAGACCCTTGGAAAAGGCGGGGGATTGGTATTCAAAGGGCTTTCGGCGCTGCAGGGGATCTTGGGAATGGAGGCTCCTTTGGCGTTGGGGGCACCGTTGGAAATGGGGGAATCCTTGGAATTGAGGGGTTTGGGAATGAGGGCACCCTTGGAAATGAGGGGGGACTGGGTATTGCAGGGGGTTTGGGCACTTCGGGGGAGCTTGGACATTGAGGGTGCCTTGGGAATGGGGAAATCCTTTAGCATTAGAGGATCCATGGGAATGAGGGAATCCTTGGGATTGAGGGATTGGGAATGAGGGGCAACAGGATGGGGGAGTGAACAGGGAATCTTTTGGCTGAGAAGGGGTTAAAAGGGATTTCCTTGGGAATGAGGGAATCCTTGGGATTGGGGCATTGGCACTGAGGGCACCCTTGGCATTGAGGGGAGCTTGGAAAAGGGGGAATCCTTGGGATTGAGGGATTGGGAATGAGGGGGCAACAGGATGGGGGAGTGAACAGGGGGGCCCTTGACTGAGAAGGGGTTAAAAGGGAATTCCTTGGGAACCAGGGAATCCTTGGAATTGGGGGGTTGGCACTGAGGGGACAATTGGCATTGAGGGGATCCTTGGGAATGGCGGAATCCTTGGGATTTGAGAGGAGCCTTGGAAAAAGGGGAATCATTGGAATCGAGGGATTGGGAATGAGGAGTAACAGAATGGGAGAGTGGACAGGGAATCTTTTGGCTGAGAAGAGTTTAAAAGGGATTTCCTTGGAGATTAGGGAATCCTTGAAATTCAGGGATTGGCAGTGAGGGCACCCTTGGCATTGAGGGGGGCCTTGGGAATGGGGGAATCCTTGGGATTTGAGGGGACCCTTAGGAAAAAGGGAATCTTTTGGATTGAGGGATTGGGAATGAGGAGTAACAGGATGGGGGAGTGAACAGGGGGACTCTTGGCTGAGAAGGGGTTAAAAGGAAATTTCTTGGGAATGAGGGAATCCTTGGAATTGGGGCATTGGCGCTGAGGGCACCCTTCGTATTGAGGGTGCTTTGGGAATGGGGAAATCCTTGGGATTTGAGGGGACCCTTGGAAAAAGGGGAATCATTGGAATCGAGGGATTGGGAATGAGGGGTAACAGGATGGGGGAGTGACCAGGGAATCTTTTGGCTGAGAAGGGGTTAAAAGGGAATTCCTTGAGAATTAAGGAATCCTTGGAATTGGGGGGTTGGCACTGAGGGGTTTTTGGGAACGGGGGGTTGGAAATGAGGGCACCCTCTGGACGAGGTCGGTGCATCCATGTGGGAAAAGGGTTTGGAAAGGACATTCTGGAGGGAAAACAGGGAGCAGCTCCAACTCCATCCCAAATCTTTCTCATCCCTCTGGAGCTTCCCCCTCCATCCTGTCATCCTTTGGCTTCCCAGCTGGAATGTCGTGCCCTGGCTGACACTGGAAGCCACACGGGAAATCGGGAAAAAATAGGAATGCAGGTGAAGCCTGAGAAATTCCATTTTTAAGTAGAATCCTGGGATGATTTCAGTTGGAAAAGATCACCAAATCCAGCCCCAAATTCCCTCAGCCCATTCCTAAAAGCCATAAGAGTGCCTTGAATTAGGTTTTTTCCCTTTTATTTCCCTCATTTCCCATATTTTGAGGAAATGGGGATGTTGGGAACCAGGCTCCCCAGGGAGCTGAGTGGCTTTAACCCTGCTGAGCTGAAAAGGAGGGAGCAGCACGTCCATAAAATCATTCCATTGGAAAAAAACCCTGAAATTATCCCAAGGAATAGCCAGGCTCATCCATAAAATAATTCCATTGGAAAAAAACCCTGAAATTATCCCAAGGAATAGCCAGGCTCATCCATAAAATCATTCCATTGGAAAAAAACCCTGAAATTATCCCAAGGAATAGCCAGGCTCATCCATAAAATCATTCCATTGGAAAAAAACACTGAAATTATCCCAAGGAATAGCCAGGCTCATCCATAAAATCATTCCATTGGAAAAAAACCCTGAAATTATCCCAAGGAATAGCCAGGCTCATCCATAAAATCATTCCATTGGAAAAAAACACTGAAATTATCCCAAGGAATAGCCAGGCTCATCCATAAAATCATTCCATTGGAAAAAAACCCTGAAATTATCCCAAGGAATAGCCAGGCTCATCCTTGGATCCTGCCCTAAGAGGAAAATGGAGCATTTTTGGGGCTGCTGCTGTTAAAAGAGAAATAAATAAATAAATTAAAGGAAGCAAAAGTGAAACTGCTGATGCTGGCAGGAGGGAGCTCATCCTGTGACAGCCGCTCCCGCTGGCCTTGGCTTCTTTTGTGGCAAAAAATTGAATTTTGTGGGGTTTTTGTGGTGGCCAGAAGACAGGAGTTTGTGCCTGTTCCAAGTAAGGTTTGGTTATTTAATGGGAATAATTCCCAGTAAGGTTTGGTTATTTGATGGGAATAATTCCCAGTAAGGTTTGGTTATTTTATGGGAATAATTCCCAGAAAGGTTTGGTTGTTTTATGGGAATAATTCCCAGTAAGGTTTGGTTGTTTTATGGGAATAATTCCCAGTAAGGTTTGGTCATTTGATGGGAATAATTCCCAGTAAGGTTTGGTCATTTGATGGGAATAATTCCCAGTAAGGTTTGGTTGTTTTATGGGAATAATTCCCAGTAAGGTTTGGTCATTTGATGGGAATAATTCCCAGTAAGGTTTGGTCATTTGATGGGAATAATTCCCAGTAAGGTTTGGTTATTTTATGGGAATAATTCCCAGTAATTCCCAGTAAGGTTTGGTTATTTGATGGGAATAATTCCCAGTAAGGTTTGGTCATTTTATGGGAATAATTCCCAGAAAGGTTTGGTTGTTTTATGGGAATAATTCCCAGTAAGGTTTGGTTATTTTATGGGAATAATTCCCAGTAATTCCCAGTAAGGTTTGGTTATTTGATGGGAATAATTCCCAGGAGGATTTTTTTGAACTGCAAAAGGGTTAGTAGTTTAATAAGGGATAAAAGAATCCCATGAAAAAGAGTTTTCTTAACCAATTTCCTCCTTGGGAAAATGAATTTGTCATTTAATTTCATTTCATTTTGAAATTAATATTTTATTATTTTGGTAGTTTAGTTTGGTTTATTTTAGTTTGGTTTATTTTATTTAATCTCTTCTTCTATATATATCTAGTGCAAATTGCCAAAAGCACACCATTAGCTTAAAATAATTTTCTTCTATATTTTTATTACATTGGTTAAATGCATATTTATGAGGATTATATATATATTTCAGTATATTATATATAATATACATATTATTCTATTATATATACAATATACATGTTTTATATGTACATATTTTAATATATTATATAATATACCTATTTATATATATTTCAGTATTATATATATTTCAATATATTATATATAATATGCATATTATATATATATAATATTTCAGTATTGTGTATATTTCAATATTTTTGTGAGTTTATGTGTTATGAGAATACTTTTCCTTGGTTTTGACCTCCAACTTGTCTGCATGTTACTTTATTTTTTGTATTTTATTTTTTCTTGAGGTTCTGTTTTGTTGTTTTGACATTTCTTTATAACTGGAGAATTAGTAGGAAATATTTTTCTGGGTGTCTTGGTTCTTGTTCTTGAAATATTATCATTTAGAAAAGATACTCCACTAATATATCGAATTAACATTTTTATTTTGTAACTGAGCTAGTTATGTAAATAAAAGCATTCAACATAATTATTTTTAACATAAATTCAAACATATTTTAATTAAATTTAACTACATAGTTTCTATTCTAATATTATGCGAAGAGCTAAGCTATAAAATTTTTATTTTATTTCTATTTATATAAGCTAAATGGCGTATATAAAAGCTGACAGATTATATTACATTTTAAAAGTAGTTAAAAGGGATTATAAATTGTATTATATTAAAAACTGTTGTGATTAACAATGATTTGTAAAAGCCAATGCATAAATATGAAAGACAATTAATATATTATAATGTTACTAGATTATATATGTTATATATTATATAATTTATTATATTTATATTTATGTATATTAATTATTACTCTAATTAATTATCTTTATTATATATAATATATATTATATATTGTACAAGTAATATTATATTATGATTATATAAATATATTAGAAAATTTATAAATTCTATATTAATATTATATTATTAATATATTCCATTGATATATAAATAATATGGTTCCATTAATATATTTATAATATTGTATCAAATATTATAATATAATGGATAATATACTATAATGTATTATAATATAATAATATAAATAACCCTATCATACTCATATAAATAATATAATTATAATATAAGACGATAATATTTATTATAAATAATGTAATATATTTATATTGTAATATGATTATATGTTTATATATAATATGTGATATTAATATAGTAATACTGTAATTATAATATTATAATAATTATGGAGTAATTATACTTACAGCTACAATTTTATAATGAGTATAGAGTAATTTTATTTGTACTATGATATAATATATTAACTATATTGTCATTTATAACATCATAATATATGTTATAATATAGCATATTATAATATGTTATATTATATTATATTATATTACGTTAGGTTATATTACATTATATTACTTTATGTTATATTATAGCATGTTATATTATATTACGTTATATTATATTATATTATGTTATGTTATGTTATATTGTATTATATTATATTATATTATATTATATTATATTGTATTATACTATATTATACTATATTATAGTACGTTACTTTATATTACATTATATTACATTACGTTATATTGCATTGTATTACGTTATGTTATATTATATTATATTATATTACCTTATATTATATTGTATTATATTGTATTATCTTGTATTGTATTATATTATGTTATGTTATATTATGTTATATTATACTATATTATACTATACTATATTATACTATATTATATTATGGTATATCATATCTTATTATATTATATCTAATTATATTACATCTAATTATATCATATGTAATTATGAAATTGTAGCTACATTGTCATTTATAAAAAAGGGCAGCCACAGCTTCTCTAGGAACTCCTGGCAGGGATGGAATTCCTAACTAAATACACCCCAACTAAATCACACCCTAAATACCCAAACGAAACCATCACTCCGCAATGACTCGCTGAAACCCTGCGGCCTCTCAGAATTCCAGAGGAGAAAATAAAATTTTGTTTTTTCCCTTTGTTTTCCCTCCTGTCCCGCAGGATGCGGCGCCGCCGGCAGCTCACAGCCCCCGAGTGCGCGGCCCTGGCCCGGAGCCCCGAGGGCTCGGCCCCGCTGCGGCACCCCCTGAGCCTGCCCCGAGGAGGAGGAGGGCGAAACCGGGGCCTTCATCCCATCCACGGCACGCGGAGACACCCCAGAGGTACTGCTGGGACAGCTGGGAGTGTCCCCTGGGGCAGGGAGAGATCCAGAATGTCCCCTGGAGCAGGGAGGGATCCAGGCAGAGCTGGGAATGTTCCCCTGGAGCAGGGAGGGATCCAGGGAGAGCTGGGAATGTTCCCTGGGGCAGGGAGGGATCCAGGAGAGCTGGGAATGTTCCCTGGAGCAGGGAGGGATCCAGGGAGAGCTGGGAATGTTCCCCTGGAGCAGGGAGGGATCCAGGGAGAGCTGGGAATGTTCCCTGGAGCAGGGAGGGATCCAGGGAGAGCTGGGAATGTTCCCTGGAGCAGGGAGGGATCCAGGGAGAGCTGGGAATGTTCCCCTGGAGCAGGGAAGGCTCCAGGGAGAGCTGGGAATGTTCCCTGGGGCAGGGAAGGCTCCAGGGAGAGCTGGGAATGTTCCCTGGAGCAGGGAAGGCTCCAGGGAGAGCTCCCAGCACATGGCAGGGCCTGCAGGAGCTCCAGGAGAGCTGCAGAGGGACTGGGGACAAGGCCTGCAGGGACAGCACCCAGGGAATGGCTCCCACTGCCAGAGGGCAGCCATGGGTGGCATCTTGGCAATGAGCAATTCCTGCCTGGGCTGGCATTGCCAGAGCAGCTGGGGCTGCCCCTGATCCCTGCAGTGCCCAAGGCCAGGCTGGAGCAGCCTGGGATGGTGGGACTGGAATGGGATGGGCTTGAAGGGCCCTTCCCACCCAAACCATTCTGGGATTTGGGACAGTCAGAATCCACCCCGAGGGATTTTTATGGAAGTTGGGGATGGCAAAGGGAAGGGAGACCCTTCCTGGAGTGCTGAGGTTCCCAGTGAAGCCCCCAGACCCCAAAATTCCTTCCTGGAGAGGAGTCGGGGTGGGGATGGATCCAATGGCAGGCTGGGAGAGCTGGGAATGGAGGGAATTCCCTGGAGAGGGAGCCTGGGGTGGGATTTTGGGAAGGGATTCCCAGAGCAGCTGGGGCTGCCCCTGACCCCTGCAATGGCCAAGGTTGGACACTGGGGCTGGAGCAGCCTGGGACAGGGGGAGGTGTCCCTGCCATGGATGGGGTGGCACTGAGGGGACTTTGGGGTCCCTTCCTACCCAAACTATTCCAGGATTCCATTAAAAAGAGTTTCCTTGACCAGTTTCCTCTCTGTGAGATTTTGTGATTTTATTCACTTTATTTTGTTAAATTTAATTATTTTTTTATTTATTTGTTGCATTTAATTTCATTTTGTTTTTTTAAATTTTATGTTATTTTCATTTAATTATTTTTATTTCATTTCATTATTTTACGTTGGTTTATGTATTTATGTTATTTTAATTTTATTTCTTTTCATTTAATTTTTTATTTTCTTTTTTATCCTTTTGTTCAAATTGAATTTCATTTCATTGCCCAAATCCTGCTGCCTCCACACCTGTGGCTGAGCAGAAACCCCAGCACACCCACCCTGAATTCCTGGGAGATTTGGGATTCAGACCCATTTTCCTGAGAATTCTGTCTGTACCTGGCTCCCTTCCCACTGAACATTCCCTGCCCAGCCTGGAATGCCACCAAAACCCCGAATTCTTCCTCATTCCATGATTTTGTTAGCGTTCCAAAACACATAATCACAGGGATTATACGTGGTGCTTTTTATTAAGAGCTCTGGGAATCGGGGGATATTCAACCCAAATCTGACTCTGACCACACATCCCAAATGATCATGTTTTATACTCTATCGTTACAGAACTTTCATGTTAATTATTAAACTTATATTGTTCTATTGTATACATAAATTTAGCCCCTCTCTGATTTTCCAACATAGTTTCTCACTATTCTTCTTATGGTTATATAATAATTACATTTAATTACTAAACAATCATCACATCTAACAATTATGTAATTTATCACGCTGCTTACGCAGGTGCGGTTGATCTGGGAAAGCACAAAGCCGAACATTTTAGATTCTAGCTTTAACTTTTGCCAGGGTTCCACTATCAATTTCATTCCCACTTTTCCCCTTTGTGCAGCCCCAGACCAGCAGAGGAAGATCTCGGATTTCTTCGGGATCCTGAAGTCGCCGCAGGCGGGAGGCGCTGGGATGCCGGGCCGTGGGATCAAGGAGGAGCCCCTGGATCCCTTCTCCCCTGGAGCTCCTGCTTCCTTCAGCCCCCCCTCCCTCTCCCCGCCTCCCCAGGCCTTGGTGCCACCTCCCAGGCCACATTCCAGGAAAAGAGCAATTCCCAAAGCAGAGCAGGAGCTCTGGGAGGAGCCTGAGGAGAAGGTCCCGGAGCTCGGTGGGATCCGGCAGGAATGGGAGGAGCTGGAGGTGGAGCCCCTTCCCGATTCCCACTTCGGGCTGCTGGGCACGCGGAGCTGGCAGGTTCCTCAGGGGTCCATGGAGGACCTTCCTCCCGAGATCCTCAGGAACATTTTTGCTTTCCTGCCAGTTCTGGATCTGTACCAGAACCTGAGCCTGGTGTGCCGCTGCTGGAGGGAGATCATCCGGGACCCGCGGGTAAGGAACGTTCTGGAATCGTCCCATGGGATCATCCACGTGTCCCTTTGTTCCTTTAAATCCCATCATTCTTCTCATGGGATCATCCATGCCTCCCTTTGTTCCTTTAAATCCCATCATTCTTCTCATGGGATCATCCATGCCTCCCTTTGTTCCTTTAAATCCCATCATTCTTCTCATGGGATCATCCATGCCTCCCTTTGTTCCTTTAAATCCCATCATTCTTCTCATGGGATCATCCATGCCTCCCTTTGTTCCTTTAAATCCCATCATTCTTCTCATGGGATCATCCATGCCTCCCTTTGTTCCTTTAAATCCCATCGTTCTTCCCAAAATCCGTGAATTTTTAGGTCTCCTGCCATTTTTCCATTTTTTCTTTGGTCTTCTGGAGCAAAAGTTGTTTCCCTATATCTGAGATCTGTGGGTAAGGAACTCTCTGGGATTATCCCATGGGATCATCCATGCCTCCCTTTGTTCCTTTAAATCCCATCATTCTTCTCATGGGATCATCCATGCCTCCCTTTGTTCCTTTAAATCCCATCTTTCTTCCCACAGTCCAGGAATTTTTAGGTCTCTTGCCCCTTTTCTTTGGTCTTTGGACCAAAAGATCCAAGATCCATGAGTAAGGAATACTCTGGGATTTTCCCGTGGGATCATCCATGATTCCCTTTGTTCCTGTAAATCCCATCATTCTTCCCATGGATCATCCATGCCTCCCTTTGTTCCTTTAAATCCCATCTTTCTTCCCAAAATCTGTGAATTTTTAGGTCTCTTGCCCCTTTTCTTTGGTCTTTGGACCAAAAGATCCAAGATCCATGAGTAAGGAATACTCTGGGATTTTCCCGTGGGATCATCCATGCTTCCTTTTGTTCCTGTAAATCCCATTATTCTTCCCCAAATCCATGAATTTTTAGGTCTTCTGCCTTTTTTTTTTGTTTTTCTGGATCAAAAATTGTTGCCCTATATCCAAAATCTGGGATCCACAGGTAAGGAACTCTCTGGGATCATCCCATGGGATCATCCATCCTTTGTTTCCCTTTGTTCCCTTAAATCCCATCATTCTTCCCACAATCCAGGAATTTTTAGGTCTCCTGCCCTTTTTCTTTGGTCTTCTAAACCGAAAGATCCAAGATCCAAGGGTAAGAAACACTCTGGGATGATCCCATGGATCATCCATGCTTCCCTTTGTTCCTGTAAATCCCATTATTCTTCCCCAAATCCACGAATTTTTAGGTCTCCTGCCTTTTTTTTTTTTGGTCTTCTGGACCAAAAGTTGTTGCCCTATATCTGAGATCTGTGGGTAAGGAATGCTCTGGGATCATCCCATGGGATCATCCATGCTTCCCTTTGTTCCTGTAAATCCCATCATTCTTCCCATGGATCATCCATGCCCTGCCTGCCTCCTTGTTCCTTTAAATCCCATCATTCTTCCCCAAATCCATGAATTTTTAGGTTTCCTGCCATTTTTTTGGACCAAAAGTTGCTGCCCTATATCCAAAATCCGGGATCCATGAGTAAGGAACACTCTGGGATTATCCCATGGATCATCCATGCCTCCCTTTGTTCCTTTAAATCCCATCATTCTTCCCAAAATCCAGGAATTTTTGGATTTCTTGCCATTTTTCTTTGGTCTTCTGGACCAAAAAATCCAAGATCCATGAGTAAGGAACACTCTGGGATCATCCCATGGGATCATCCATGCCCTGCCTTCCTCCTTGTTCCTTTAAATCCCATCATTCTTCCCACAATCCATGAATTTTTAGATTTCCTGCCTTTTTTTATTTGGTGTTCTGGCCCAAAAGTTGCAGCCCTATATCCAACATCCATGTTGCAACAACATTCCTTCCCATCCATGGGAAAAAAATCTGGAATATTCCATGAAATGCCCTTTGCAGAGTTTTCCCTGCAGCCTTTTCTCCTGGCAGGAATTTTCCAGGGAATTCCTGCAGTGTCCCCAAACCTCTGGGTGTGTCTGTGGTGTTTCTTGTCACCAAACGGATTTGGAGGAATTCTGGAGCTCTGTTTGGATGGGTTTTGGTTCCTCTGGAATCAAGGCAAACAGCTGGAAGGAATGATCCCCAAATCCCACAGAACGTGGTTTGGGAACAGGCAGCGCCTCTGCAGGCATTTACCATGCCCAAAAATCCAGCCCTGTTTGCAGCCTTTGAGGATTTCCCTCCCCTTGATTTCCCCCCCTTGGTTTTCCCCCCCTTTATTTCCCCCCCCCTTTATTTCCCCCTTTTATTTTCCCCCGCTTTATTTTCCCCCCCCTTATTTCCCCCCCTTTATTTTTCCCCCTTTATTTTTCCCCCTTTATTTTTTCCCCCTTTATTTTTCCCCCTTTATTTTTTCCCCCTTTATTTTTTCCCCCTTTATTTTTCCCCCTTTATTTTTTCCCCTTAGTTTTCCCCCCCTTTATTCCCCTCCTTTGTTTTCCCCCCTTTATTTTCCCCCCCTTTATTTTTCCCCTTTGTTTTTCCCCCCTTTATTTTTCCCCCCTTTATTTTTCCCCCTTTATTTTTTCCCCTTTGTTTTTCCCCCCTTTATTTTTCCCCCCTTTATTTTTTCCCCTTTGTTTTTCCCCCCTTTATTTTTTCCCCCTTTATTTTTCCCCCCTTATTTTCCCCCCCTTTATTCTCCCCCTTTATTTTTCCCCCTTTATTTTCCCCCCCTTTATTCCCCTCCTTTGTTTTCCCCCCTTTATTTTTCCCCCCTTTATTTTTCCCCCTTTATTTTTTCCCCTTTATTTTTCCCCCCTTTATTTTTCCCCCCTTTATTTTTTCCCCTTTGTTTTCCCCCCCTTTTTTACCCCCCCTTTATTTTCGCCCCCTTTATTTTTCCCCCTTTATTTTTTCCCCCTTTATTTATCCCCCTTTATTTTTTCCCCTTTATTTTTTCCCCCTTTATTTTTTCCCCCTTTATTTTTCCCCCATTTATTTTTCTCCCTTTATTTCCCCCCCCTTTATTTCCCCCCATTTATTTTCTCCCCCTTTATTTTCCCCCCTTTATTTTTCCCCCTTTATTTTCCCCCTTTATTTTTTCCCCTTTATTTTTTCCCCTTTATTTTCCCCCTTTATTTTTTCCCCTTTATTTTTCCCCCCTTATTTTTCCCCCTTTATTTTTCCCTCTTTATTTTCCCCCCCTTTATTTTCCCCCCCTTTATTTCCCCCCCTTTATTCCCCCCCTTTATTTTTCCCCCCTTTATTCTCCCCCCCTTTATTTTTCCCCCTTTATTTTTTCCCCCTTTATTTTCCCCCCTTTGTTTTCCCCTCTTTGTTTTTCCCCGCTTTATTTTCCCCCCTTTCCTTTTCCCCCCTTTCCTTTTCCTCCTTCTTTCCCTTTTTTCTTATTTTCCCCTCTCTTTTTTCCTCCCTCTTTTCCCCCCCTTTTTTCCTCCATCTTTCCTTCCTCTGTTTTTCCCTCTTTTTTTCCTCCCTCTTCCCCCCTTTTCCTCCTTTTTTTCCTTTTTTCTCCTATTTTTTCCCCTCTCTTTTTTTCCTCTTTCCCCTCTTTTTTCCCTCTTCTCTTCCCCCTCCTCTTTTTTCCCCTCTTTTTTTCCCGTCTCTGTTTTTTCTCCCTCTCTTTTTCCCCTTTCCTTCCCCATCTCCCTTTCCCATCCAGCTCCTTTTCCCCTCTTCCTTTTCCCCCTTATTTCTTCCTCCCTCTTTCTTCCTTTTTCCCCTTTTTCTCTCTTTTTCTCTCTCTCTTTTCCCCCTTTTTTCCCCTTCTCTTTTCCCACTCCTCTTTTTTCCCTCTCTCTCTTTCTTCTCCCTCTCTTTTTCCCCTTTCCCCCCTTTCCTTGCCCATCTCCCTTTCCCACCCAGCTCCCTTTTCACCCCCATGACTCCGAGCCCCCCCTGATTTCTCCCTTTCCCCGGATCCCCTTTGGAACGCCGTGAGGTGAATGCTGTGTTCCCACTGCAGTTCATCCCTTGGAAGAAGCTCTACCAGCAGTTCCTGAGGAGGGAGCAGTCGGCCCTGCTGAGGGTGGAGCAGCTCCTGCAGGAATTCTCCATGGCCCAGGAGCACCAGGGCTGTGTGCTGGGGCTGGTCAGGTGAGTCCTGCACGTCCTCACATTGTCCTGCCTTTGGGATTTCTTCAAATTGCCAGGTTTGTCTTCTGGGAAACGTGGAGGAAAAGTGATTTTAATAGGAGAAAAACCACAAAAAACAGGTACAAAACTTTCCTTTTCCTTATTCTGTTGCACATTATCCTGGAATCACGGAATTCTTCAGGGTGGAAAAGGCCTCTAAGACATGGATCCCACCATTCCCAGCACTGCCAAGGCCACTCTTGTCCCCAAGTGCCACATCCACAGGTGCTGGAGCCTGGAATGCCAAAAACTCTCAGAACTTTGGGGCTGTAAGCCAAAACTTAGAATTAAACACAAGATTTGATCCGAGACCACAGAAAAAACTTCCAAATTTAAAAGCAGGAATGTGGATTTATAGTTTAGAGCAGAGACACGTTAAAATAAATAAAGTTTTAGAGGTTAAGATAGAGAAAAAATAAAGGAGCAAGGTGGATCCAACTTGTGGAATCATGGAATGGTTTGGATTGGGAAGAACCTTAAAATGATCCAGTTCCATCCCTGGGCATGGAATTGCACTAAGGGACACTTGCACTAAAGGAGCTTCCAGGCTGAGAGCTGGGTGCAGGAATTTATTCAGCTTTTCTGGGCCACAGAACTGGGAATTCTTGTCCAGGTGGAATGTCTTGTCCTGGCACAGGAACGGGCTGGAAATGCGAATTGCAGCTGCTCAGATTGCATGGAAAACACAGCAGGGATGAGCAGGGAATAGTGGGAGCTGCTGCAGCCACCCTGGGGGTGCTGTGGGGGCAGCACAGTCAATTCCTCCTGGTAAAAGGAGAAATAAATAGTGTAAAATTCCTATTAATGTGAGTGTGTTCAGGTGGAGAGGAGATTTTAAAGTAATTGTCATTGAGGCATCAGTGTGTTCAGGTGCAGAGAAGATTTAAGAATTATGATTGAGGCATCAGTGTGTTCAGGTGGAGGGAAGCTTTAAGAACAAAGTATAATTATTATTAATATCAGTGTGTTCAAGTGGAGGGAAGCTTTAAGAACAAAGTATAATTATTATTAATATCAGTGTGTTCAAGTGGAGGGAAGCTTTAAGAACAAAGTATAATTATTATTAATATCAGTGTGTTCAAGTGGAGAGAAGATTTAAGAACAAAGTATAATTATTATTAATATCAGTGTGTTCAAGTGGAGAGAAGATTTAAGAGTAGAATATAATTATCATTGAGGCATCAGTGTGTTCAGGTGAACAGCAGATTTAAGAAGAATTATGATGGAGACATCAGTGTGTTTAGGTGGAGAGAAGATTCAAAAATAAAGTAGAATTATTATTGTGACATCAGTGTGTTCAGGTGAAGAGAAAATTTTAGAATAATTATGACTGAGACAGTGTGTTCAGATGGAGAGAAGATTCAAGAAGAATTATTATTGAGGCATCAGTGTGTTCAGGTGAAGAGCAGATCTAAGAATAAAGTATAATTTTTTATTAATATGAGTGTGTTAGGTGGAGAGAAGATTTAAGAATATTTATGATGGAGACATCAGTGTGTTCAGGCGGAGAGAAGATTCAAGAAAAATTATTATTGAGTCATCAGTGTGTTCAGGTGGAGAGCAGATTTGAAAATAAAGTATAATTATTATTGACATGAATGTGTTCAGGTGGAGAGGATTCAAGAAAAATGATTATTGAGTCATCAGTCATCAGAGAGCAGATTTAAGAATAAAGTGTAATTCTTATTAATGTGAGTGTGTTCAGGTGGAGAGAAGATTCAAGAAGAATTATTATGGAGGCATCAGTGTGTTCAGGTGAAGGGCAGATTTAAAAATAAAGTAAAATTATCATTAAGAATATTAAGAATAAAGTGCAATTTTATAATATGAGTGTGTTCAGGTGGAGAGGGTTCAAGAAAAATTATTATGGAGGCATCAGTGTGTTCAGGTGAAGAGAAAATTCAAGAATAAAGTCTAATTTTTATTAATGTGAGTGTGTTAGGTGGAGAGAAGATTCAAGAAGAATTATTACTGAGACATCAGTGTGTTTAGGTGGAGAGCAGATTTGAAAGTAAAGTAAAATTATTATTAAGAATATTAAGAATAAAGTATAATTTTATAATATGAGTGTGTTCAGGTAGAGAGAAGATTCAAGAATAAAATCTAATTTTTATTAATGTGAGTGTGTTCAGGCGGAGAGAAGATTCAAGAAAAATTATTATTGAGTCATCAGTGTGTTCAGGTGGAGAGCAGATTTGAAAATAAAGTATAATTATTATTGACATGAATGTGTTCAGGTGGAGAGGATTCAAGAAAAATGATTATTGAGTCATCAGTCATCAGAGAGCAGATTTAAGAATAAAGTGTAATTCTTATTAATGTGAGTGTGTTCAGGTGGAGAGAGGATTCAAGAAGAATTATTGTTGAGGCATCAGTGTGTTCAGGTGAAGGGCAGATTTAAAAATAAAGTAAAATTATTAATAAGAATAATAAGAATAAAGTATAATTTTATAATATGAGTGTGTTCAGGTATAATTATGAAGATTTAAGAATTATTATGAATGAGACATCAGTGTGTTCAAGTGAAGAGAATATTCAGGAATAATTGTGATTTAGTCATCAGTGTGTTCAGGTGGAGAGAAGATTTGAAAATAAAGTCTAATTATTAGTATGAGTGTGTTCAGGTGGAGAGGATTCAAGAAGAATTATTATTGAGGCATCAGTGTGTTCAGGTGAAGGGCAGATTTAAAAATAAAGTAAAATTATCATTAAGAATATTAAGAATAAAGTGCAATTTTATAATATGAGTGTGTTCAGGTTGAGACCATTCAAGAAAAATTATTATTGAGGCATCAGTGTGTTAAGGTGAAAAACAAATTTAAGAATTAAGTATAATTATTAATATGAGCGTGTTCAGGTGGAGAGAAGATTTAAGAAGAATTATGATGGAGACATCAGTGTGTTCAGGTGAAGAGAAAATTTTAGAATAATTATGACTGAGACAGTGTGTTCAGGTGGAGGGAAGATTCAAGAAGAATTATTATTGAGGCATCAGTGTGTTCAGGTGAAGAGCAGATCTAAGAATAAAGTATAATTTTTTATTAATATGAGTGTGTTAGGTGGAGAGAAGATTCAAGAATATTTATGATGGAGACATCAGCGTGTTCAGGTGGAGAGCAGATTTTAATTCAAGGAGAATTATTGAGGCATCAGTGTGTTCAGGTGAAGGGCAGATTTAAAAATAAAGTAAAATTATCATTAAGAATATTAAGAATAAAGTGCAATTTTATAATATGAGTGTGTTCAGGTGGAGAGGGTTCAAGAAAAATTATTGAGGCATCAGTGTGTTAAGGTGAAGGGCAGATCTAAGAATAAAGTATAATTTTTTATTAATATGAGTGTTCAGGTGGAAAGAAGATTCAAGAAGAATTATTATTGAGATATCAGTGTGTTCAGGTGAGAAGCAAATTTAAGAATTAAGTATAATTATTAATATGAGCATGTTCAGGTGGAGAGAAGATTTAAGAAGAATTATGATGGAGACATCAGTGTGTTCAGGTGGAGGGAAGATTCAAGAAGAATTATTATTGAGGCATCAGTGTGTTCATGAGAAGGGTAAATTTAAGAAAAATCACGATTGAGGCATCAGTGAGTTCAGGTGCAGAGCAGATTCAAGAGTTATTATTATTGAGGCATCAGTGTGTTCAGGTGAAGGGCAGATTTGAAAATAAAATATAATTATTATTAACATGAATGTGTTCAGGTGGAGAGGATTCAAGAAAAATTTTGATTGAGGCATCAGTGTGTTCAGGTGAAGGGCAGATTTAAGAATAAAGTATATTTTTATTATTATGTATGTGTTCAGGTGGAAAGAAGATTTAAGAATCATTATGATGGAGACATCAGTGTGTTCAGGTGAAGGGCAGATTTGAAAATAAAATATAATTATTGTTAACATGAATGTGTTCAGGTGAAGAGATGCAGGCAATACCTGCATGGTTTGGTTTCCAGACCCAAACTCTTTTCTTTCCTGCCTTTTCCCACAAAATGTACTTGGGGTACACTCAGTGAAGCAAAAGCTTGTACATAATTTTCTTTTGCTAATTTAAGATTTTTTGTTTGTTAATTTAATTTTTTTTATTTGTTAATTTAAGATTTTTTTTTGTTAATTTAGGATTTTTTGTTTCTTATTTTAAGATTTTTTGTTTGTTAATTTAAGATTTTTGTTTGTTAATTTAGGATTTTTTGTTTCTTATTTTAAGATTTTTTGTTTCTTATTTTAAGATTTTTTGTTTGTTAATTTAAGATTGTTAATTTGAGATTTTTTGTTTGTTAATTTGAGATTTTTTGTTTCTTAATTTAAGATTTTTTGTTTCTTAATTTACGATTTTTTTGTTTGTTAATTTAAGATTTTTTGTTTCTTAATTTAAGATTTTTTGTTTGTTAATTTAGGACTTTTTGTTTGTTAATTTAGGACTTTTTGTTTCTTAATTTAGGATTTTTTGTTTCTTAATTTAGGATTTTTTGTTTGTTAATTTAGGATTTTTGTTTGTTAATTTAGGACTTTTTGTTTCTTAGTTTAAGATTTTGTGTTTCTTAATTTAAGGTTTTGGTTTTAATTTTAAGAATTTTTTGTTAATGTATCAAAGAGTGTGGTGGCTTTTGGTGCTGGTTAATGATTAACGTGTTTATTTTTTTGTTGTGAAATAGGTGAAGTAGGTTTAAAACTTTAAAAGAGCATGAAGAAAATTTTATTCGTAGTTCCCAGGTTTCTTTTCTCTGTGTGTTTCTCACAGTGGTGTGTGCAGTTTTTTAAGGGTTGGAAGCTTTATATCAGTTTTTTTAAGTTTTTAATGTAAAACTATGGCAGTAAGTACGATTGGTTGAGTGCAGGAGTCAAAACTGTGCTTGAAAAAGGATCTACAAACACATGAATATTTTAATTTTTCTAAAAGATGGGTGTTTGATAATTTACCTATATACAAAGTTCGGTAAACGCTGATTTGCGTGCAGCGTTCTTTGTGCAGAGGGAATCCCTTGTGACAGTTATTAACATTATTTTTGCTGGGTTCAGTGGCTCTCAGAGGCTGCATCGATGACGAGCTGTGGGCATCCCCAGCTGTGCTTTGGGGCAGCCCCGAGTTCCTGGGAGAGCAAATCCCTGTTATTGCCCCTGCACAGGTTGGTGTCCTGCACAGGAGCCAGGGTGGATCCCAGCAGGCTTCTCCAGCTCTTGGGAACCCATCCCCTCTTCCCCAAGGCTCAGTTCTGTGTCCTCAGCAAATTCCCAGATTTGCACAGCAAGCCTGGGGTGAGTTTCACTCTTATTTCTTTTTTATTTCTTTTATTTCACTCTTATTTCTGCTTTTTTTTTTTTTTTTTAACAAATTCCTGCAGTGTCCCCAAGCCTCTGTGGTGTTTCTTGTCACCAAACGGATTTGGAGGAATTCTGGAGCTCTGTTTGGATGGGTTTTGGTTCCTCTGGAATCAAGGCAAACAGCTGGAAGGAATGATCCCTAAATCCCACAGAAAGGGGTTTGGGAACAGGCAGCGCCTCTGCAGGCACTCACCGTGCCCTGGGGTCTGACCTCAGCCCACATTTCTGGGGAGCTCCAGGTTTTCCTTCGTGCCGTTCCCATAAATTTGGATGGGTAAAGCTGGACAGGATGCAAATATGGGGATGTGCTCCTCCCTTTTTCACCCATCCCAAAGCTTGTCTGAGGTCACTGTGCCCTCCCGTGTCCCGAACTCCTCCCTCTGTGGTGTTGTTTGGGATCATTTGGGCTGACCATGACGCCTCAGGTTTGGCTTTTATATTTTATATTCTGTGCTGCTTTAGTGTGAGGGTCTGGGCTTCACATTCAGGGATGGTGAGTATTACAGCGACCTGAGTGGGTCGCTGGGGTGAGAGAAAGACGAGAATCTTGTTTCCTGATCAGAAGGCTGGATTTATTGATATATGATATATAATACATTATAACTATACTAATTAGAATAAAGAGAGAAGTTGCAGAAGCTGCTAAGCTAAGAATAGAATAGAAAAGAATCTAAACCAAAGTTGTGTGTCCAGGGACTCTGTCCCCAGCTTGCTCCTGTGATTGGCTTTTAATTATAAAGATGGGAATATGAATTAATCAATCACAGGTGCATCTTATTGCATCCCACAGCAGCTGATAACAATTGTTTACATTCTTCTTCTGGGGCCTTTGCTTCCCAGAAAATGCAGAAATCTGAAAGAAAGGATTTCTGTGAAAAAATGTCTGTGACAGGTGAGCTCTGTGCACAGAGCAGGGAGACAAAACAATTCCTGCTCCAGCTGGGCACCAAGGACAAATGAGCCAAATCTCAGCCCAGGAGCACAAACCCCGTGGGCTGCAGAGAGAAAAACAAGCAGGGTGGGAGTGCCTGGGCTGAAGCTGGGATGGGACAATGAACTGCAAGGTGCAAATGGAGCAGAACTGATCCCAGGGAGAGACCCCGGGAGCGCTCGTGCATTTTGGGGCCGTTTTGGGTCATCTTGGGTGCAGCCCTGGCTGGGCTCTGGTGCTGCCCAAGGTGCAGCCATGGATCCTTTCCATAAATCCCTGCTTTATTCTGGGACTCTGCCCAGCCTCTGTAATAGCTCAGCCTTCTCAGGGCATCAATTTAAGATTTAACAGCTCCTCACTGAATTTTTCCACCTCCTAGTGAGATTTCCCTGGGAGCTCCAAGCTTTTTGTTGTGTTTCCCTTGTCCTTGCCCAGGCAGAGAAGATGTGGGCCATGTTTGCTGTCATGGTGCTGTTCTCTGATGGCGTTGGGGACATCCAGAGGCTGCTGGAATGTTTCCGGAGCCCGCGCTCGGAGCTGGCCCTGCTGGAGGTCACCGAGGTGCTGCACTGCATGGCCACGCTGCTGCTGGCCATGAGGAACAGGAGCATCCCCATCTCCAACAGGTCAGGAGCTTCCCATTCCAGCCCTGGGCACTTCCCACCATCCCAGGCTGCTCCAGCCCCAGGGTCCAACCTTGGCCATTGCAGGGGTCAGGGGCAGCCCCAGCTGCTCTGGGAATCCCTTCCCAAAATCCCACCCCAGGCTCCCTCTCCAGGGAATTCCCTCCATTCCCAGCTCTCCCAGCCTGCCATTGGATCCATCCCCACCCCGACTCCTCTCCAGGAAGGAATTTTGGGGTCTGGGGGCTTCACTGGGAACCTCAGCACTCCAGGAAGGGTCTCCCTTCCCTTTGCCATCCCCAACTTCCATAAAAATCGCTGGGGATGGATTCTGAGTGTCCCAAATCCCAGAATGGTTTGGGTGGGAAGGGCCCTTCAAGCCCATCCCATTCCAGTCCCACCATCCCAGGCTGCTCCAGCCTGGCCTTGGGCACTGCAGGGATCAGGGGCAGCCCCAGCTGCTCTGGCAATGCCAGCCCAGGCAGGAATTGCTCATTGCCAAGATGCCACCCATGGCTGCCCTCTGGCAGTGGGAGCCATTCCCTGGGTGCTGTCCCTGCAGGCCTTGTCCCCAGTCCCTCTGCAGCTCTGCTGGAGCCCCTGCAGGCCCTCAAAGTGGCTCTGAGGTCTCTCCAACTTTGAGTTTCAGATCCCTCCAAATCCCAGCAGAACAGGAGCATTCCCATCTGGGAATTCCTTCCCAATATCCCGTCCCAAATCTCCCTTTTTTTCCAAAGCCATTCCCTGTGTCCATCCTTTATCCCAAAGTCTCTCCTGGAGCTCCTTTAGGCCCTGCAAGAGGCTCTGGGGTATCTCCAACTTTGAGTTTCAAATCCCTGCAGTTCCCAATAGGACAGGAGCATTCCCATCTCCAACAGGTCAGGAGCTTCCCTTTCCATCCCTGGGTGCTCCAACCCAGCCTTGGATGTTCCAGGGATGAGGCAGCTGAAGTTTCTCTGGGAGTTCCTTCCCAAGATCCCATCCTAAATCTCGCCTTTTTCCCAGTCTGAAGCCATTCCCTGTGTCCTGTCCATCCTTTATCCCAAAGTCTCTCCTGGAAGAGGCTCTGGGGTCTCTCCAAATTTGAGTTTCAGATCCTTCCAGTTCCCAGGGGATTTGGGTCTCCAGCCTGGCCTTGGACACCTCCAGGGATGAGGCAGCTCCAGCTCCTCTAGGAGTTCATTCCAGTGCTTCCCCACCCTCCCAGCCAGGAATTCCTTCCCAATTTCCCATCTATCCCATCCCTCTGGCGTTCCCCCTTATCCTGTCGCTCCTTTCAGGAGACAACATTCAAAAAACTCCAAATTTTCCCAAAATAAAAACAGGATTGAAAGACTCCTCCTGCTCAGCTATGACAGCTTAATGTTTTTATTACCTCCCCAAAACTGATTTATTTTACTTCATTCCAAGTCCTAGGAGCTCCTTCCCTCGTGATCCTTTTGTTGCCTAAAAAAAAAGGATCTGAGCAGAGATTCCTTGAGATTCCTTCAGGATTGCAGGGGGATAAGGATGAGAACACAGGGAAATCCTTCTGGGGAGAAAATTGGGAAGGAACTGGAGTGGAAAATGCAAATATGCAGGAATTTGATGGCTCTGGAAGCTGTGAGCTCTAAGGGACTGGAGGACAGGGAAAGGCTCATCCTGAGGGAAATTGGGATGTTTGTTTGGGATGTTAATGGTTGATTCATTGCTGGATAAAGTCACTGACCTGCAGGAAATGTGGCAGGTCAAAATCCAGGGATTTTAGAATTTCCATCTCCCCAGAAAAAGTGGGAATTCCTCCTGGGAATAAGGAGCAGATGTGTCAGGAGGAATTGCCTGATTGCCGTTTGCAGTAATTAATGAGTCTGAGGGTCCAAATCTTGGTGAGAGACACAAAATGTGTCCTGGAGGGCTGGAAGAAAGGAGCAAAACTGCCCCAAAAGAGGGAAAAGCACAGTGGGAAACCCTGCTGGAGAATCCAGGTTAATTTTAAACCAATTGCTGTCAACACAGCTAAACCCAAAGGATCTCTTCTCCCTCTGCAGTGAAAAGCAGCAAGAATTATTATCAAAGTTAAAAACCTCCCTTAAAACCATCCTAAACCAAAAATTTCCTCTCTTTAAAAGGCCAAATCAGCCCCAAATTCCGTGTGAGCCTCCCCAGCCCCAGCTCTGTTGGTAATTGTGGCTCAGGAGAGCAGAATTATCCCCTGGACTCTGATCCCAGCTCATGCTGGCATGGGAGACCCTGGAATACAAACCTGGCAGGGCAGAATTATTTAAAGAACATTTTAAATTATTCATCATTTCCTGCAGAGCTTGAGGCTTTTTGTGTTTTTTAATTATCCAAGAGATTGGTGGTGTTTTAAGTGGCTGCAGAGGTTTAATTTCTTATTAATTATATATATTTATATATATATTTATATATTTATTTATTTATTTATTTATTTTATATACATTATCAATATTAACTATATAATATATATTATATAGCTAATTATTATATATTTTATATATAAATAATATCTATTTATATATAAATATAATATATATTATATTTATATAGTTAATATATAAATACAGTTACAGTATAACTATGTATAGTTATATATAGTATAACTATATATATATGCTATATATATAGTATATATATTATATATATACTATATATATAATTTTATAACTATATATAGTTATATATAGTATAACTATATATGGTATATATATAGTATATATATAATATATATACTATATATAATTCTATATATATAATTTTATAATATATAAAATATATATATTATATATATATAATTTTATGTATAGTTTTAACTATATATTTATAATTTTATATATACTATATTTATATAATTTTATATAATTTATATAATACATATATATATATGATTTTACTATATATAATTTTATTATATATATAATTGTATACATAAAATTATTATGTATTAACTATTTCCTATTTCTCAGTAATTCCTGTTTTATCCCTTTATTTTTTCCAGGCTTCACTACAATATTTTCTACTGTTTGTATCTGATGGAAAATGCCTCTGGAATTGTGCAGCCTCTGCAAGAGGGAGGGATGGATTTGTGTCCCAGGTGATCCAGGCAGTGCATGCTGAGCAATTCCATGGAGAGAGGAGCAAATATCCCAAATATTCCACAGCAGGAAAAGGTGGAGCTGGATCAGTGGCACAGCTGATCCTGCTGCTCACCACCTTCCCATGAATTCTCAGGGAAAATCAGGATTGGGGCCTTAGATCTGTAAAATTGGGAGTGCTGAGTTTAAATTCGCTGCTGGGTCTGTCTGTTGGAATCGTGGAACAATTTGGAATCATGGAATGGTTTGGAATCAACCAGTACCCCCCCTGCCATGGCAGGGACACCTCCCCTATCCCAGGATCCTCCATTCCTTCCTTGGCCATTGCAGGGATCAGGGGCAGCCCCAGCTGCTCTGGGAATCCCTTCCCAAAATCCCACCCCAGGCTCCCTCTCCAGGGAATTCCCTCCATTCCCAGCTCTCCCAGCCTGCCATTGGATCCATCCCCACCCCGACTCCTCTCCAGGAAGGAATTTTGGGATCTGGGGGCTTCACTGGGAACCTCAGCACTCCAGGAAGGGTCTCCCTTCCCTTTGCCATCCCCAACTTCCATAAAAATTTAAACTCATGAAGAAGAAAGAAGGTAAAGAAGATAGATTAGTTACTGTCTTAAAACTTCTGTTTTTATATATATTACTATATTTTAATACTTTAAACTCTCAAGTTTTCTATTTGGTGATATTACACACTTCTAATTAAACTACACTCTTGTAATCTGCTATTAATTAATTTTGGACGTCTTCTCCACACCTTTGGCCAAATGCAGTGTTCTCCTGTGAGTCAGAGTCTGTCAGTACAGAAAGTCTCAAATTCTCAGCATCCAGAGCTCCAACACATTCCCAGCTTTCCCAATAAATAAGGGGTTTATTTATAAGGAATTTACCATTTCCTTGGCCTGTGGAGATCCAGGCTGGGTTCCTTTTCTGCAGCTGCAATAAATAATTCAATTCTTTATCCTCACCTGGAGAAAGGGAATGGGATAAATTCATCCATCACCGAGGTCTAACAGAGATAAAACTGGTTTTAATGAGCTTGAGGTGCCAAATTCATTCTTAAAGCACAGCTTGGTCCCTCAAAAATATATTTTCCTTTGTTGGTGTGTGATGTTTTCCTCTATTCCCTAAAAAATCTTCCCCAAGACTTTTTATTTTATCTGCACTATTTCCTTACTCCATGCTTTTCTCCTTTTCCCAATAACCAAGTTGGGATGGGATCAATCAATCCCTGATTTCCCTAATTAATTTAGGGAATTGATTAATTTCTTTTAAGTGGGATGGTTTGTTTTAGGGATTTTTAGAGGATTAATAATTCCTTGCCCACGTGTTGATTGGATTTTTTTCCCTGTTTTTAGTGGACGGGCTGATGTCAGACTGACCCATGAACAGCAGAGGATTCTGAGTCACAAAATTGAGCCTGGCCAAACAGTGAAAATAATGGCATTTGCAGGTAAGAGCCCAAAATGTTGGAAAAATGCTTGGGCAATCCCCAGTCTGCTCCTTCCCTCCCTGATCCCTCTGTCTGAGGGATTGAGAGATCCCAAGGGGATCAATTTGTGCCTCTGGGAGAACAAATTTAAGGGAAAACCTGCCAAAAATGGAGGCAGAATAAAAACAGGGGAGAGAGGAGTGGGAAAATGTGGAACAGCCCTACAGATCCCGAGTTTGGGAAAGGAGGAAGAGGAGATGCTCCAGGTGCTGGAGGAGAGATTTCCCTGGAACCCCAGGAGGAGCAATTCTCGAAGGATTGACCCCATGGATAAAGGGAGCAGTTCCTGAAGGACTGACCCCATGGATAAAGGGAGCAGTTCCTGAAGGACTGAGCCCTTGGATAAAGGGAGCAGCTCCTGAAGGGCTGACACCATGGATAAAGGGAGCAGCTCCTGAAGGGCTGACACCATGGATAAAGGGAGCAGTTCCTGAAGGACTGACCCCATGGATAAAGGGAGCAGCTCCTGAAGGACTGAGCCCATGGATAAAGGGAGCAGTTCCTGAAGGATTGAGCCCATGGATAAAGGGAGCAGTTCCTGAAGGATTGAGCCCATGGATAAAGGGAGCAGCTCCTGAAGGACTGAGCCCATGGATAAAGGGAGCAGTTCCTGAAGGATTGAGCCCATGGATAAAGGGAGCAGTTCCTGAAGGACTGACCCCATAGGAAAAGGAGCAGTTCCTGAAGCACTGACCCCATGGATAAAGGGAGCAGTTCCTGAAGGACTGACCCCATAGGAAAGGGAGCAGTTCCTGAAGGACTGACCCCATGGATAAAGGGAGCAGTTCCTGAAGGACTGACCCCATGGATAAAGGGAGCAGCGCCTGAAGGGCTGACCCCATGGATAAAGGGAGCAGCTCCTGAAGCACTGAGCCCATGGATAAAGGGAGCAGTTCCTGAAGGATTGAGCCCATGGAAAGGGAGCAGTGCCTGAAGGACTGACCCCATGGATAAAGGGAGCAGTTCCTGAAGGACTGAGCCCATGGATAAAGGGAGCAGCTCCTGAAGGACTGAGCCCATGGATAAAGGGAGCAGTTCCTGAAGGACTGACCCCATAGGAAAGGGAGCAGTTCCTGAAGGATTGAGCCCATGGAAAGGGAGCAGTTCCTGAAGGATTGAGCCCTTGGATAAAGGGAGCAGTTCCTGAAGGACTGACCCCATGGACAAAGGGAGCAGTTCCTGAAGGACTGACCCCATGGATAAAGGGAGCAGTTCCTGAAGGATTGAGCCCATGGATAAAGGGAGCAGTTCCTGAAGGATTGAGCCCATGGATAAAGGGAGCAGTTCCTGAAGGACTGACCCCATGGATAAAGGGAGCAGTTCCTGAAGGACTGACCCCATGGATAAAGGGAGCAGCTCCTGAAGGACTGAGCCCATGGATAAAGGGAGCAGTTCCTGAAGGGCTGACACCATGGATAAAGGGAGCAGCTCCTGAAGCACTGAGCCCATGGAAAGGGAGCAGTTCCTGAAGGACTGACCCCATGGAAAGGGAGCAGTTCCTGAAGGACTGACCCCATGGATAAAGGGAGCAGTTCCTGAAGCACTGACCCCATGGATAAAGGGAGCAGTTCCTGAAGGACTGACCCCATGGATAAAGGGAGCAGTTCCTGAAGGATTGAGCCCATGGAAAGGGAGCAGTGCCTGAAGGACTGACCCCATAGGAAAAGGAGCAGTTCCTGAAGGGCTGACACCATGGATAAAGGGAGCAGCTCCTGAAGCACTGAGCCCATGGAAAGGGAGCAGTTCCTGAAGCACTGACCCCATGGAAATGGAGCAGTTCCTGAAGGACTGAGCCCATGGATAAAGGGAGCAGTTCCTGAAGCACTGACCCCATGGATAAAGGGAGCAGTTCCTGAAGGATTGAGCCCATGGAAAGGGAGCAGTTCCTGAAGGATTGAGCCCATGGAAAGGGAGCAGTTCCTGAAGGATTGAGCCCATGGATAAAGGGAGCAGCTCCTGAAGGATTGAGCCCTTGGATAAAGGGAGCAGTTCCTGAAGGATTGAGCCCTTGGATAAAGGGAGCAGTTCCTGAAGCACTGACCCCATGGAATAGGGACCCACACTGGAGTGGGCAGTTCCTAAAGCTGTGCCAGGGAAGGTTTAGGTTGGACATTGGGACAATCCCTCCATGCAAGGCTTATCCAGGCCTGGCTCAGCTGCCCAGGCAGGGATGGAGACCCCATTCCTGGAGGGATTTAAAACCCGTGGATGTGGCACTTGGGGACATGGATGACCTTGGAAGTGCTGGGAATGGTTGATGCCAACCCAAATAATTCCCTGTTTCTCTGAAATCAGGAGTGAAGTGGAATATTGGAGTTGGGACAGCAGGAGTGTAAAAAAGAATTAAAATATGTGGAATATTTCATTCCTGACCATGGATATTTTATTCCTTATTTTTATTTTATTCCCTGTTTTCCTCTCCTCTCCAGGCACAGGGAAAACCTCGACCTTGGTGAAGTACGCGGAGAAATTCTCGGAGCTGAAATTCCTTTACCTGGCTTTTAACAAAGCTGTGGCAGAGAAGGGGAAGATGGTTTTCCCAAAGAATGTCACCTGCAAGACCTTCCACTCCTTGGCTTTTGGAAGCGTGGGGAGACGGTGAGTGGGGAGTTCCAATCCCTTGGTGGAAGCAGGGAAAGGATGAGGAAGGGGAAGTGGTTTTGAGGGGAACCTCCAGGATTTGGGGCAGCACAAATAATGGGGGGAAATTTATCATTGATGGCTTCCAGATGGATGCTGTGGGATGATCCAGGGATTTTAGCATCCATGGGGGCACCCCAAAACCAAGGAGCTCCTCACAGGGAGGTGGAAATCCACTGGGAGTGAGCTTTTCCCACTTCCCATTCCCACTGGAATGCTCCAAGTGCTGCTTTTCCTCAGGATCAATTCCTTTTCCAGAGGATCAGTTTCCTTATCCTGAGCTGTTTTCATGATCCAATTTCTGTCCAATTCTGGCACATTTAAGCTGGGGGTAGGAAAGACCTAGAAAAAAAAGGAAATCCCATTCCCTGGCTCTGCAAACACTCTGGAATTCCAGGGATGAGCTCAATTTTCCGTCTCTAAAATGTATAAAATCAACACATTTGTGCTTCCATCAGGACAAGTTGTGCAGATTTAAAGATACTCCAATATTTGGATGAATTGGGATATAAAGCCGAGCTTTTTCCAGGGATAGTGCACAAAAAAAAAAAAGGATTCCTGTGTGTTTTAACTTCCTTTTTGTCTTTTTTCCTTTTTTTTCCTGTCTTTTTTTTTTTCCCTGACCATTTTTTCCTGTCTTTTATTTTCCCTGTCTTTTTCTTTTCCTGTCTCTTTTTTTTCCTGTCTTTTTCTTTTCCTGTCTGGTTTTTTTCCTGTCTCTTTTTCTTTCCCTGTCTCTTTCTTTCCCTTTTTCTTTTCCTGTCTTTTTCTTTTCCTGTCTTTTTCTTTTCCTGTCTCTTTTTTTTTCCCTGTCTTTTTCTTTCCCTGTCTTTTTTTTTCCCTGTCTTTTTCTTTTCCTGTCTCTTTTTTTTCCTGTCTTTTTCTTTTCCTGTCTGGTTTTTTTCCTGTCTCTTTTTCTTTCCCTGTCTCTTTCTTTCCCTTTTTCTTTTCCTGTCTTTTTCTTTTCCTGTCTTTTTCTTTTCCTGTCTCTTTTTTTTTCCCTGTCTTTTTCTTTCCCTGTCTTTTTCTTTCCCTGTCTTTTTCTTTTCCTGTCTCTTTCTTTCCCTGTCTTTTTCTTTCCCTGTCTTTTTTTTTCCTCTTTTTTTTCTGTTGTTTTTTTTTTGTCCTTTTTTTTGTATTTTTTTGTCTTTTTTTTGTCCCTCTGGCACAGCTACAAAGAGAAAGGCAAGCTGAACTTCTCCAAGATGTCAGTTTATTCCATCAGCTTCCTCCTGCGGAACAGGGAGGGCCAGTCCCTGTTTGTGAGAGGGAAAACGGTGTCCCAGACCTTGGGCAACTTCTTCTCCTCCTCAGATGAGGAGATCTCTGAGGAGCACGTGCCCCTGTGGTTCAAAAACACTCACGGGAACATGGAGCAAGTGAGCCCACAGGAAAAGAGGGTGAGGTTTTGGGATGGAGCCTCTGGAATTTGCTGAGGTTTCATGGATGGGCTTTGGGGAGGTCTGGGATGGTGGGAAATGTCCCTGCTCATGGGTGGGGCGGCACGGATGGGCTTTGAGGTCTCTTCCAACCCAACCATTCCATGATTTTATAAAATAATTCATGCTCATCCCCCTTCTCAAAAATGTTGATTGGAAGAGATCTTCCCGTGTTCAGCTGAAATTTGGGATTGGGGAATCCTTCAGTCAAGGGCTGGGGTCAATCCTGAGCTTTGGAAGAAATCAGAGGCTGGTGCAACATCCCAAAGGAATTGGGATGAAAATCAAAAGGTTGGGATGAAACTCAAAAGACTGGGAGGAGGAGAATCAAAAGTTTGGGAGGATGAAGAATCAAAAGGCTGGGAGGAGAAATCAAAGATTTGGAGGTGAAGGATGAGAATCAAAAGATTGGGATGAGAATCAAAAGATTGGGATGAAAATCAGGAGGAAGAATCAAAGATTGGGAGGAGGAATCAAAAGGTTGGGATGAAAATCAAAAGACTGGGAGGAGGAATCAAAAGGTTGGGAGGAAGAATCAAAGACTGGGCTGAAAATCAAAAGACTGGGAGGAGGAATCAAAGACTGAGATGAAAACCAAAAGATTGGGAGCAGGAATCCAAAGGTTGGGAGGAAAATCCAAAGGTTGGGAGGAGAAGTCAAAGATTGGGAGGAAGGTGATGCTTGGGGAAAAAAAGGATAATCCCTGTTTTCCCTAAAAAATACTTCCAGCCAAACTCCTCACCGAATCCTTGTGGGTCTGAGGAGCTGCTTGGGATGGAAAAAAGGATCTGGGGCTTTTTGGGAATGGCTCCCACTGCCAGAGGGCAGCCATGGGTGGCATCTTGGCAATGAGCAATTCCTGCCTGGGCTGGCATTGCCAGAGCAGCTGGGGCTGCCCCTGATCCCTGCAGTGCCCAAGGAAAGGTTGGGGCCCCCTGGGATAGAGGAAAATGTCCCTGTCCATGGATGGGGTGGGACTGGATGGGCTTTGAGGCCCTTTCCAGCCCAAACCATTCCATAATTTTATTTTTATCCCATTATTTTATTCCAATCCTTCTGTTTTCTCATTTTAGATCAATGTGGAAGAGGCCAAAGAGATTTGGCACAACATGAAGAAGCTGGATGGAGATGCAGAGAAGAAATACAAGATGACTTGTGATGGTAAAAGAGATGGAAAATCCCTTGGGAAAAAAGGGATTTGGTGGTGGATAAATCAATAGATTTATTATTCCTGCTTCTGGCTGAGCATCCAGAAGGAGAAAATCCCTTTTTTCCTGCCAATGGCTCACCAGGGAATATCCCTCTGACTCAATTTTTCTTTTTATATATATTTATAAAATACATAAAATGAATTTCTGCTCCCACTAAGATAAAAATGTGTAGATTTCAAGGATATTCACATTTTTTAATGGCTAAAAATAAAGCCCAAAATTTGGAAGTTGCTTCCAGCACATCCTTTCCTCTGGATAGTGCTGGAGATAACTGGGAAAAACCTTTTTACTGGAATTTTTGGTGGGCATTAAGAAGCTTGAAATCATCAAATTTGGGCAGCCAGGGGAGACAGAGATTTTTTGCAACCCTTCCAAATGTGGAAATTCCAAACAGGAAGCGAAGCCAGAAGTGTCGCAAAAAAAGAAAAAAAAAACCAAAAGAAATGGAAAAGGGGGATTTGTTTTAAAGGTCCTGATGGATCTTCCCTGTCCTTGAAATTCCTGATTTTTTCCCTCAGGATATTTGAAACTCTGGCAGCTCAGCAAGCCCCAGCTCTTGGGATACCATGCCATTTTTGTGGATGAAGCCCAGGATTGCACTCCAGGTGAGTTATTCCAGGAGCTCCACTCCCACTTCCAGAGGGGATTTCCATGTGGTGGAAGTTTCTCACCCTAAACACTTGGAATTTAAACAAATTTTTCCCTCAGGTTTGACGTTTAAACTGAGCTTTTCCTTGGGTTTGGAGCAGGTTCTTCCCTCATGATCCCAACTGGATTTGGAACAGGTTCTTCCAAATTGAGCTTTCCCTTGGGTTAGGAGCAGGTTCTTCCCTCATGATCCCAACTGAGCTCTTCTTTGGATTTGGACCCTCATGATTCCAACTGAGCTTTTCCTTGGGTTGGGAGCCCGTTCTTCCCTCATGATCCCAACTGAGCTTTTCCTTGGGTTTGGATTGGAGCAGGTTCTTCCCTCATGATCCCAACTGAGCTCTTCTTTGGATTTGGACCCTCATGATTCCAACTGAGCTTTTCCTTGGGTTGGGAGCCCGTTCTTCCCTCATGATTCAAACTGAGCTTTTCCTTGTGTTTGGATTGGAGCAGGTTCTTCCCTCATGATCCAAACTGGATTTGGAACAGGTTCTTCCAAATTGAGCTTTCCCTTGGGTTAGGAGCAGGTTCTTCCCTCATGATCCCAACTGAGCTTTCCCTTGGCTTTGGTGCAGGTTCTTCCTTCATGATCCAATTTCTTCCCCTCACGGCCATTGTGGATATTGTGCAATCCCAAAAATGAGGGAAAATCATGGTGGGAGGTCCTCACCCTCAGAAGTTCTTCCCTCATGATCCAAACTGAGCTTTTCTGTGGATTTGGAGCAGGTTCTTCCCTCATGATCCCAACTGAACTTTCCCTTGGCTTTCGAGTGGATTCTTCCTTCAAGATCCAATTGTTTTTTCCCCTCACAGCCATCGTGGATATTGTGCAATCCCAAAACTGTGGGAAAGTCCTGCTGGGAGACCCCCACCAGCAGAGGTTCTTCCCTCATGATCCCAACTGAGCTTTTCCTTGGATTTGGATCCTCATGAGCCCAACTGAGATCTTCCTTAGGTTTGGATTGGAGCAGGTTCTTCCCTCATGATCCAAACTGGATTTGGAACAGGTTCTTCCAAATTGAGCTTTCCCTTGGGTTAGGAGCAGGTTCTTCCCTCATGATCCCAACTGAGCTCTTCTTTGGATTTGGACCCTCATGATTCCAACTGAGCTTTTCCTTGGGTTGGGAGCCCGTTCTTCCCTCATGATCCCAACTGAGCTTTTCCTTGGGTTTGGATTGGAGCAGGTTCTTCCCTCATGATCCCAACTGAGCTCTTCTTTGGATTTGGACCCTCATGATTCCAACTGAGCTTTTCCTTGGGTTGGGAGCCCGTTCTTCCCTCATGATTCAAACTGAGCTTTTCCTTGTGTTTGGATTGGAGCAGGTTCTTCCCTCATGATCCAAACTGGATTTGGAACAGGTTCTTCCAAATTGAGCTTTCCCTTGGGTTAGGAGCAGGTTCTTCCCTCATGATCCCAACTGAGCTTTCCCTTGGCTTTGGTGCAGGTTCTTCCTTCATGATCCAATTTCTTCCCCTCACGGCCATTGTGGATATTGTGCAATCCCAAAAATGAGGGAAAATCATGGTGGGAGGTCCTCACCCTCAGAAGTTCTTCCCTCATGATCCAAACTGAGCTTTTCTGTGGATTTGGAGCAGGTTCTTCCCTCATGATCCCAACTGAACTTTCCCTTGGCTTTCGAGTGGATTCTTCCTTCAAGATCCAATTGTTTTTTCCCCTCACAGCCATCGTGGATATTGTGCAATCCCAAAACTGTGGGAAAGTCCTGCTGGGAGACCCCCACCAGCAGAGGTTCTTCCCTCATGATCCCAACTGAGCTTTTCCTTGGATTTGGATCCTCATGAGCCCAACTGAGATCTTCCTTAGGTTTGGATTGGAGCAGGTTCTTCCCTCATGATCCAAACTGGATTTGGAACAGGTTCTTCCAAATTGAGCTTTCCCTTGGGTTAGGAGCAGGTTCTTCCCTCATGATCCCAACTGAGCTTTCCCTTGGCTTTGAATTGGAGCAGGTTCTTCCCTCATGATCCCAACTGAGCTTTTCTTTGGATTTGGACCCTCATGATTCCAACTGAGCTTTTCCTTGGGTTGGGAGCCCGTTCTTCCCTCATGATTCAAACTGAGCTTTTCCTTGTGTTTGGATTGGAGCAGGTTCTTCCCTCATGATCCAAAGTGAACTTTTCCTTGGATTTGGACCCTCATGATCCCAACTGAGCTTTTCCTTGGACTTGGAGCAGGTTCTTCCCTCATGATCCCAACTGAGCTTTTCCTTGGGTTTGGATTGGAGCAGGTTCTTCCTTCATGATCCAAACTGGATTTGGAACAGGTTCTTCCAAATTGAGCTTTCCCTTGGGTTAGGAGCAGATTCTTCCCTCATGATCCCAACTGAGCTTTCCCTTGGCTTTGGTGCAGGTTCTTCCTTCATGATCCAATTTCTTCCCCTCACGGCCATTGTGGATATTGTGCAATCCCAAAAATGAGGGAAAATCATGGTGGGAGGTCCTCACTCTCAGAAGTTCTTCCCTCATGATCCAAACTGAGCTTTTCTGTGGATTTGGAGCAGGTTCTTCCCTCATGATCCCAACTGAACTTTCCCTTGGCTTTCGAGTGGATTCTTCCTTCATGATCCAATTGTTTTTTCCCCTCACAGCCATCGTGGATATTGTGCAATCCCAAAACTGTGGGAAAGTCCTGCTGGGAGACCCCCACCAGCAGAGGTTCTTCCCTCATGATCCCAACTGAGCTTTTCTTTGGATTTGGACCCTCATGATTCCAACTGAGCTTTTCCTTGGGTTGGGAGCCCGTTCTTCCCTCATGATCCCAACTGAGCTTTTCCTTGTGTTTGGATTGGAGCAGGTTCTTCCTTCATGATCCAAACTGGATTTGGAACAGGTTCTTCCAAATTGAGCTTTCCCTTGGGTTAGGAGCAGATTCTTCCCTCATGATCCCAACTGAGCTTTCCCTTGGCTTTGGTGCAGGTTCTTCCTTCATGATCCAATTTATTCCCCTCACGGCCATTGTGAATATTGTGCAATCCCAAAAATGAGGGAAAATCATGGTGGGAGGTCCTCACCCTCAGAATTTCTTCCCTCATGATCCAAACTGAGCTTTTCTGTGGATTTGGAGCAGGTTCTTCCCTCATGATCCCAACTGAACTTTCCCTTGGCTTTCGAGTGGATTCTTCCTTCATGATCCAATTGTTTTTTCCCCTCACAGCCATCATGGATATTGTGCAATCCCAAAACTGTGGAAAAGTCCTGCTGGGAGACCCCCACCAGCAGAGGTTCTTCCCTCATGATCCCAACTGAGCTTTTCTTTGGATTTGGACCCTCATGATTCCAACTGAGCTTTTCCTTGGGTTGGGAGCCCGTTCTTCCCTCATGATCCCAACTGAGCTTTTCCTTGTGTTTGGATTGGAGCAGGTTCTTCCCTCATGATCCAAACTGGATTTGGAACAGGTTGTTCCAAATTGAGCTTTCCCTTGGGTTAGGAGCAGATTCTTCCCTCATGATCCCAACTGAGCTTTTCTTTGGATTTGGACCCTCATGATCCCAACTGAGCTTTTCCTTGGACTTGGAGCAGGTTCTTCCCTCATGATCCCAACTGAGCTTTTCCTTGGGTTTGGATTGGAGCAGGTTCTTCCCTCATGATCCCAACTGAGCTTTTCTTTGGATTTGGACCCTCATGATCCCAACTGAGCTTTTCCTTGGGTTGGGAGCCCGTTCTTCCCTCATGATCCCAACTGAGCTTTTCCTTGGGTTTGGATTGGAGCAGGTTCTTCCTTCATGATCCAAACTGGATTTGGAACAGGTTCTTCCAAATTGAGCTTTCCCTTGGGTTAGGAGCAGATTCTTCCCTCATGATCCCAACTGAGCTTTCCCTTGGCTTTGGTGCAGGTTCTTCCTTCATGATCCAATTTATTCCCCTCACGGCCATTGTGAATATTGTGCAATCCCAAAAATGAGGGAAAATCATGGTGGGAGGTCCTCACCCTCAGAAGTTCTTCCCTCATGATCCAAACTGAGCTTTCCCTTGGCTTTGGAGCAGGTTCTTCCTTCATGATCCAATATTTTTTCCCTCACAGCCATCGTGGATATTGTACAATCCCAAAACTGTGGGAAAATCCTGGTGGGAGACCCTCACCAGCAGATCTACACCTTCAGGGGTGCTGTCAACACCCTGTACCTGGTGCCTCACACCCACGTGTACTACCTGACCCAGGTAAGGGCAGCGTTTTCCATGGATAAATCCCAGATCCATGGAACACTTGGGAATCATGAATCAACATGGCAGTTGTGGGGCTTTAGTGGAGGGATCCCATCCTGTTGGTGGAAAAGTTGGTGGAGTTGGGATTGAGGCCTTGTTGTAGGGAGATTCCCCTTTTTTGAGGGGATCACATCTGGAATGCTGGATCCAGCTGCCAGGATTTCCGGGAGTATTTTGGGGATTTTGGTGCCTTTTCCAGGGAAAAAAAATTTTCCAGGACATTGGTGGGAATGGCATCATTTGGATTTAACAATGACCAGGATTTCCAGGAATATTTTGGAGGAATTTTGATGCTTTTTCCATGGAAAAAACAGTCCAGATGATTTCAGAGAATCCCATAATTCCATATAGATAGATAGAATTTTAGAGATTGCAAGAATGATTCTGGTTTTCCTGCTGATCCTGGGTTTTTTCCAGAGTTTCAGGTTCGGCCCCGAGATCGCCTACGTGGGAGCCACGATCCTGGATGTGTGCAAAGGGATCCGCAGCAAAACCCTGCTGGGAGGGAACCAAAGGGGTGAGCTGGGAATGGGATCCCAGAGATCCCCAGGGATTCCCCAGGAACTCAAGTGGGAATCATTCATTCATTAATTACATTAAATTAAATAAGCATATTCATTAATTCAATCTGGAATAAATATTATATTACATTACATTACATTATATCTATATTATATTATATCTATATTATATTATATCTATATTATATTATATCTATATTATATCTATATTATATTATTGTCACATTAGACCATATTATGTATTATATTATTGTAATGTATATAATTTTATATATTATTATATACAATATATATTACAATATATAATATATATTATATATTATATAATATATGTAATATACATTATATATAATATAATATATAATATAATAATATATAATATGTAGAATAATATAATATTATACATAATGTTATATTTTATTATATATAATTATAAATTATTATTACATATTATTATATTATTAGATATTATATCTATATTATATTATTGCCACATTATACCATATTATTTATTATATCATTATAATATATATTTATATATGTGTATTATTATATATAATATATATTATTATAGCATGTATTATATATAATATTATAATATTATAATATTATATAAAAATATATTAATATATTATATGTATTATATATATTAATATAATATAATATAAAATAACATAACATAACATATTATATTACATTATATTACATTATATTATGTATTATAATGTATGTTGTGATAATATATAGTATATATAATAATATATTATTATATATTATTATATTATTATTTATTATATCTATATTATATTATGTCATATTATATATTATATATTATATTATTATATATTATAACATTATATATTATTACATTATATATGATGTATTTTATTATATAGTATATTATTATATTATTGCTTTTATTAGTATGGTATATTTATTAATAAAACAAATATGAATATAATACTTAATATTACTATGATATCAAATACTACTGTTATTAACTAATAAATAATATTACTGATTTATAGTAAATAATCTTAAATAATATTAGTATATAATAAATATAGTTAATTAATAAATTTAACTAATAACTTTAATTATAAATTAGAAATATATTAATTATATTGTAAAATAATTAATTAATTTTGTTAAATAATAATATTATCAATAAATATTAACTAATGAAATTGATGTAATTTAATTTATTCTAAAATTTGAAAATGGTGTGCTTGGAAATAAATATTCAATTCATCTCCCAAAAATAAAGATTTAGTTAATTTCCTAAAAGTAATTAATAATGGAAAATATTAAATTAATAATAACAGGTAAATATTAACTACTAAGAGATTAAAAATTAATAAATTAAATAGTAGCAGACAAAATAATGAACTATAAATATTTAATATGAATTATAAAATAAATTAATAATAAAATATAAATTTAAATTTATAATGTAAAATATTAAAATATTAAATTAATAATGACAGTCTAAGTATTATAAATATCAAATTAATAATACAATTTTCCCTTGTATTAATATTTAAATATATACAATAGCTAAATTAAATTAATAATAAAATATAAATAATAATAAATATAAAATAATGAAAGGTTAAATTAAATTAATAATGAGCAATAAACAATTTATTCCCTGTTATTAAATTTGCAATAAAATAGAAATAATTAATTAATAGCAAAATATAAAATCATAATATATGAAATTGCATTAGTCATTAATTTTAAATAGTGATTAATTTCCAAAAATAAATTAATAATAAAAGATAAAGTCACATTTAGTAATAAAATATAATAAGTCGAGTAAATTATTAATGAAATATTAGTAATACTCATTAATAATTAACCAGGAATTCCAGCTGGAATGGCTGTGGGTAACTGGGAATGGGAATGGCTGTGGGTAACTGGGAATGGCTGTGGGTAACTGGGAATGGGAATGGCTGTGGGTAACTGGGAATGGGAATGGGTAACTGGGAATGGGAATGGCTGTGGGTAACTGGGAATGGGAATGGGTAACTGGGAATGGGAATGGCTGTGGGTAACTGGGAATGGGAATGGCTGTGGGTAACTGGGAATGGCTGTGTGTTACTGGGAATGCTGTGGGTAACTGGGAATGGGAATGGCTGTGTGTAACTGGGAATGGCTGTGTGTTACTGGGAATGCTGTGGGTAACTGGGAATGGGAATGGCTGTGTGTAACTGGGAATGGCTGTGTGTTACTGGGAATGCTGTGGGTAACTGGGAATGGCTGTGTGTAACTGGGAATGGGAATGGCTGTGGGTAACTGGGAATGGGAATGGCTGTGTGTAACTGGGAATGGCTGTGTGCAACTGGGAATGGCTGTGGGTAACTGGGAATGGCTGTGTGCAACTGGGAATGGCTGTGGGTAACTGGGAATGGCTGTGTGTTACTGGGAATGCTGTGGGTAACTGGGAATGGGAATGGCTGTGGGTAACTGGGAATGGCTGTGTGTTACTGGGAATGCTGTGGGTAACTGGGAATTCCAGCTGGGAATGCCGGTTTAACTGGGAATTCCAGCTGGGAATGCAGTGTTTAACTGGGAATTCCAGCTGGGAATGCCGGTTTAACTGGGAATTCCAGCTGGGAATGCAGTGTTTAACTGGGAATTCTCCTGGGAATGCAGTGTTTAACTGGGAATTCCAGCTGGGAATGCTGGTTTAACTGGGAATTCCAGCTGGGAATGCAGTGATTAACTGGGAATTCCAGCTGGGAATGCTGGTTTAACTGGGAATTCCAGCTGGGAATGCAGTGTTTAACTGGGAATTCCAGCTGGGAATGCTGGTTTAACTGGGAATTCTCCTGGGATTGCTGTATTTAACTGGGAATTCCTCCCTCAGGGGACGTGCGGGGAGCCCGGCAGGGGAAGATGGCGCTGCTGTCCCGCAGCAACTGGAACGTGTTTGAGGACGCCGTGGAATTCTCTGGGAGAGACCCCCCGGCCAAAATCCACGTCATTGGGGTGAGGGGCACTGCACCCAGTCAAATCCCAAGGATTTCAAGGAATATTCCAGGAAAAATAAGGAATTTTTTGTGCCCTGGGGCACTGTTATTCTCCAACCCTCACAGGCCTCATCCCATTTTAAGGCTTCTTTGTGCAGGCCTCAATCCATTTTTAGGATAATTTGTCCCATTTTTATCAGGGATGGGGCAAGAAAAGAGGGATGGACAGTTGGGACAAGTTATTCTGAGGTTTTAAATAAATATTCCAGGAAAAAGTAGGAATTTTTTGTGGCCAAGGATGATATTTGGAGCTGTTCCTCTCCAACCCTCACAGGCCTTGTCCCGTTTTGAGGCTTCTTTGTGCAGGCCTCAATTTTTAGGATCATTTGTCCCATTTTTATGAGGAACGGGGCAGGAAAAAAGGGATGGACAGGAGGAATAAAGAATTCCAATGATTTCAATGAATATTCCAGGAAAAAGCAGGAATTTTCAGGAAAAAAGCAGGAATTTTTTGTGGCCAGGGATGATATTCAGAGCTATTATTCCCTGAACCTTGCAGGCCTCATCCTATTTTTGGGATAATTTTTCACATTTTTCTGAGGGATGGGGCAAGGAAAAGAGGGATAGACACCTGGAACAAGTTATTCCAAGGATTTAAATTAATATTCCAAGAAAAAGCAGGAATTTCCAGGAAAAAGCAGGATTTTTTTTGTGGCCAGGGATGTTATTTAGAGCTGTTATTCCCCAAGCCTTGCAGGCCTCATCCCATTTTTGGAATAATTTTTCCCATTTTCATCAGGGATGGGACAAGGAAAAGAGGGATGGAGAGCAGGAATAAAGAATTCCAAGGTTTTCAATTAATATTCCAAGAAAAAGCAGGAATTTTCAGGAAAAAGCAAGATTTTTTTGGTTATTTACAGCTGTTCCTCTCCAAGCCTTGCAGGCCTCATCCCATTTTTAGGATAATTTTTCCCATTTTTATCAGGGATGGGACAGGAAAACAACAAAATTGGTGGAATTTGGAGAGGTTTGGAGCCTGATTTTGGGAATTTTAGCAGGTTTGGAATCTGATCTTTGGGAATTTTAGGCTGATATTTCAAATTTTCCATCTTTTTTCCCACCCAAATTCCAATTCAAGGAGGGGTTGAAAGTGCTCAGCATTGAAAATCTTCCATAGTTTGGAATATATCAAATTTATAAATACAATAAATTTATTATTTTCATTTTATGTTATTTTATTTTTAACATCTTATTCATAAATAAATTTTCATAAATAAAATAAATACATAAATAAAACATATAAAATAATAAAAATATTACAAGAAATACATATAAAAAGAATACATAAATAAAATTTGGTTTATAAACTAATTTTATAAATACATTTTTCTTCCTTTTAGGGATTGGAGAGATTTGGCCTGAGTAAAATTTATGATATTTGGAAGCTCAGCCTGCCTGCAGATGTCAGGAAAAACTGTGAGTATTCCCTTATCCTTCTTTTTTCCAGGATTTTTAAAGTTTTGCTGGCAATAATAATAATAATAATAATAAATAATGATAATTTATAATAATATATATAATAATATATAATTTCTATATTATATATTATTTATATGATACATTATAGATATAATGTATATATAATTATAATATATACATATATAATATATAATTATATATTCCATTTTAATAATTAACCCTGATTAATTTTATATTTCCTAATTAATTTTTTAGTTGAAACCTCATTTTTAATGGTTTTATCATGGGCTAGGCTATTTTGGCTGCTTAATTCCAGAAATCCCAAAATTTGGGAATTTTTGTCAGGCATCTTTTCCCAGCTTTCCACAGTGATTCCTTATTTTCAGTGCAGGTAAACCCAGAATTTGGGATATTTTTCCCAAATTTTTTCATATTTTCAATTGTTTTTAATTTATTTTCAGTGTTCCCTAGATTGTTTTGGGTGTAAAGCTCCATTTTAAAATTTCCTTTAAAATATGGTGTAAAATTCAGAAAAAAATCCTGGATTTCCTTTCAAAAACAGAATAAAATTCGGGATAAAATTCAGGACAAAATTCAGGATTTCTTTTAAAATACGGAATAAAATTAAGGATAAAATTCAGGTTGAAATTCAGGATTTCCTTTAAAATATGAAATAAAATTCAGGATAAAATTCAGGCTTTCCTTTATAGTATGGAATAAAATTCAAGATTTCTTTTAAAACATAAAATTCAGAATTTCCTTTTAAAATTCAGGATAAAATTTCAGGATTCCCTTTAAAATATGGGATAAAATTCAGGTTAAAATTCAGGATTTCTTTTAAAATTTGGAATAAAATTCAGGATTAAAATTCAGAATTTCCTTTAAAATATGGGATAAAATTCAGGATTTCCTTTAAAATACGGAGTAAAATTCAGGATAAAATTCAGGATAAAATTCAGCATTTCCTTGAAAATATAGAATCAAATTCAGGAAAAAATCAGGACAAAATTCAGGATTTCCTTTGAAATATGGAATAAAATTCAGGATAAAATTCAGGTTAAAATTCAGGATTTCTTTTAAAATATGGAATAAAATTCAGAATTAAAATTGAGGATTTCCTTTAAAATATGGAGTAAAATTTAGGATAAAATTCAGGATAAAATTCAGCATTTCCTTTAAAATATAGAATCAAATTCTGGAAAAAATCAGGATAAAATTCAGGATTTCCTTTAAAATATGGAATAAAATTCAGGATTTCCTTTAAAATATGGAATAAAATTCAGGATAAAATTCAGGTTAAAAAATCAGGATTTCCTTTAAAATTCAGGATAAAATTCAGATTTTCCTTTAAAATATGGAGTAAAATTCAGGAAAACATTCATGATAAAAATCATCGCTTTAAAATCTAGGAACAGCAGATGAAATTTTTAATGGAGACAACAAAAAATTCCCCAATTTTCCACAAATATCTGATTACATTAATATAATTCCCACTTCTTTGGCGAGTTGAACTGCTTGGAAAATTCCTTCAGCAGCTGGAAAACGAGGGGGAACCGATACGGGACGGAAAAATCTCAATGAAAGCTAGAAATAGAAATTTAAAAAATAGAAATTTAAAAAAATAGAAACTTAAAGCTATGAAATAAATCATAGGAATTAAAATAAAAATTAAAATATATTAAATAATTGCAGCACACCTGGAGATCGAGGATCCCTTCATCAGGAGGTGGGCCGAGGCCGAGGGGCTGCCGGGGCTCAGGGAATTCGCGGCGCGCGTGGACGACAGAGAGCTGGAGGTGAAGATCTCCATCGTGGAGAAGCACAGGGACAGGATCCCCGAGCTGGTGAGCAGGATCAGGGCCAGCCACGTGGCCCAGGAGGCCCTGGCAGGTGAGGCCACGTCCCAGGAGAAAATTGGGATGGTTTCCATCCTGGGAAAAGGATCTGGTGGGGTTGGGGTGGTTTGTGAGGGAGAGCGGAGGTGGAGCGGGAGGGTTTGGGGTGGGAATGTTTCTGCTGTGGAGGCAGCTTGGAGAGATGGGAGTGTTCTCATGGAGAAGGGACCAGGGAGAGCTTCCAGCACATTCCAGAGGATCCAGCAGAGCTGCAGAGGGACTGGGGACAAGGCCTGCAGGGACAGCACCCAGGGAATGGCTCCCACTGCCAGAGGGCAGCCATGGGTGGCATCTTGGCAATGAGCAATTCCTGCCTGGGCTGGCATTGCCAGAGCAGCTGGGGCTGCCCCTGATCCCTGCAGTGCCCAAGGCCAGGCTGGAGCAGCCTGGGATGGTGGGACTGGAATGGGATGGGCTTGAAGGGCCCTTCCCACCCAAACCATTCTGGGATTTGGGACACTCAGAATCCATCCCGAGGGGTTTTTATGGAAGTTGGGGATGGCAAAGGGAAGGGAGACCCTTCCTGGAGTGCTGAGATTGCCAGTGAAGCCCCCAGATCCCAAAATTCCTTCCTGGAGAGGAGTCGGGGTGGGGATGGATCCAATGGCAGGCTGGGAGAGCTGGGAATGGAGGGAATTCCCTGGAGAGGGAGCCTGGGGTGGGATTTTGGGAAGGGATTCCCAGAGCAGCTGGGGCTGCCCCTGACCCCTGTGATGGCCAAGGTTGGACCCTGGGATAGTGGAAAGTGGAGCCCTTCCCATTTAGGATTCCTGTTGAAATTTGGGGAAAGAAAATTCCTCAAATATTGAGCATTCCTGTTTGGGAATGTGGCTGGAGCTTGGGATGCCAACCAGGAATTTCCCTTGGTACAATTTCCCTTCCTCCACCCTGATTCCCCACAGAGGAGCTTTGCTCCTGATTTAACTCTGGGAGAAGGGGAATGGATGCAGAATGAAATAAAACAAAAATTCCCATTATTTTTGCCAAGACTGACCCTTTTTCCTTGTTTTTCCCAGATTTTCTCATCGGCACCGTGCACCAAGCCAAGGGCCTGGAGTTCGACACCGTTTGTGTCGCGGATGATTTTGTGCAAATCCCTTCTGTCACTGGGGCCTTCCTGAGGAGAATGAACATTGCCCTTGGTGAGGGAGACACCAAAAAGGGGGAAAGGAAAGGGTGGTGAGGGGCTGGAGCTGGGAATGGAGCTGGGAAGGGTCTGGAGAACCAGGAGGGGCTGAGGGAGCTGGGCAGGGGCTGAGCCTGGAGCAAAGGAGGCTCAGGGGCCCTGGTGGCTCTGCACAAGTCCCTGCCAGGAGGGCACAGCCGGGGGGGTCCTGCTGTGCTCCAGGGAACAGGGACAGGAGCAGAGGGAACGGCCTCAGGCTGGGCCAGGGCAGCTCAGGGGGAATTTTGGGGAAAATTCCTTCCTGGAAAGGGTGCAGTCCCCATTCCTGCAGGGATTTTCCTGTGGATGTGGCACTTGGGGACATGGGTGACCCTGGCATTGCTGGGAATGCTTGGATTCCATCCTGGAAATCTTTCCCCACGCCAAGGATTCCCTGGCTCCAACAAGGCAGGACAGGATAAACCATTCCCATCCCAGCAGGGCAGGACTGGATAAACCATTCCCATCCCAGTAATCCCAGCAGGGCAGGACAGGATAAACCATTCCCATCCCAGCAATCCCATCCCAGGGCAGGACAGGATAAACCATTCCCATCCCAGCAATCCCATCCCAGGGCAGGACAGGATAAACCATTCCCATCCCAAGGCAGGACTGGATAAACCATTCCCATCCCAGCAATCCCATCCCAACAGGACTGGATAAACCATTCCCATCCCAAGGCAGGACTGGATAAACCATTCCCATCCCAGCAGGGCAGGACTGAATAAACCATTCCCATCCCAAGGCAGGACAGGATAAACCATTCCCATCCCAAGGCAGGACAGGATAAACCATTCCCATCCCAGCAATCCCATCCCAAGGCAGGACAGGATAAACCATTCCCATCCCAAGGCAGGACTGGATAAACCATTCCCATGGGGTTGCTGTGGGAGGCTGAGCCAGGTCAGGGGTGCCCAGGGCTGATTCCAGCTGGGAATTCCAAGCTCTGGAGCAGCTCAGCATTCCCTGATCCCATTGTTGATCCCTCCAGCTGAGCCAGGGGAGGTTTGGAGTGGATTTTAAGGAATATTTCCCCATGGAAAAAGTGGCCAGGCACTGGAACTGCTCATGTCAGGGGTGCAGTCCTCATTCCCACAGGGATTTCCCTGTGGATGTGGCGCTTGGGGACATGGTGACCCTGGCAGTGCTGGCAATGGTTGGACTCCATGTCTTAGAGGCCTTTCCCAACCTCAGTAATTCCATGATTCCCTGATTCCACCACCTTGTCTCCAAACAGAACAAGGAAAAGAAAGGTCAATTCCGTGGTTTTTTTCTGTACCTATTTTTAGGGCACTCCCAGTGATTTTCCCCATTAAAACAACTTCCCCCTCCTCATCCTCCTGCACACCTTTTCCAGCCCTATGTATTCTCCCATTCCATAAATATTCCCACAGCCAAGCCCGGAGCTGTGTAGCAGCAAAGCCCAGTCCAGCCTTGGGAAGCCCTGAGGCTCCTGTTCTGGAATTTCTCCCTTCCCAGTGAATTCCCAGAGGCAATCCAGGCACTGGGAAGCTCCTCCAGAGCCAAGCCTGGGCTCCAAACAGAAAACAGGAATCTGGAATGGCTTCTCCAGGCATGCAGAGTGAAGGGAGAAATGTGGGATGAGGCAGGAGCTGCAAATTCCTGCTTTCCCAGAGAAACCCCCACTGTCCTTCTGGAGCTGGATCCTGGAGTGGTTTGGCTTGGAAGGGACCTTAGAGCCCATCCAATTCCATGGGCAGTGCCACCTTCCATTATCCCAGGGTGCTCCAAGCCTCATCCTGGCTGCAGCATTCTTTCCCAGCCTCAGTAATTGGGGAATTCTGCGTTCATACCCCCATGGGAATGCCCAGAGCATCCAGGTTATCCAGGGAATGAGCACCTGGATCAGAGGGAACAGCCAGAGGAGGTTTGGATTGGATTTTTGGGAATTTCCCCTTGGAAAGGAGCCTCCAGCCATCCCAAATTCCTCCAGGCTTTGTTTTCCTCCTCCTCCTGTCAGGACAAGCAGGAGTGGGAATGTCCTGGGAGACAGAGCCTGAAATCCTCAGTGCAGAGAAAATCAGGGTCAGATTCCCACCCCAAGCACCTCCAGCAGCACAAAATGTCAGAATTTTATCCCAAATGGACTCCTGGGATGGTTGGGGTGGGAAGGAGCCTCAGAGCTCATTCTGGGGACACTGGTTGGAGCACTGGGAGGAGCAGAGAGCTGCTCACCCCTAAATCCATGGATTGCCTCTCCTCCCTCCCAGACAGGACCCCTGAGGACGAGTGGAACCTGCTCTACGTGGCCGTGACCAGGGCCAAGAGGTGCCTGCTGATGTCCAAATCCCTGGAAAACCTTCTGTCTCTGGCTGGAGTGAGTGAAACCTTCCCAGGGCAAGGGGATCCTGCTGTGGGGTGATCCAGGGCACCAAAGGATTATCCTGAGGTCCCTCCTGATCCTGGGATCCATGCCATGGGCTGCTCCTTGTGCTGGCATGCACCAGAACAGCAGGAATCAGTTCTATTCCTGCATTTTGCTGCTCCATCAGAGGCTCCAGTAGGAAGGCACAGGATTGCAGTGGGCTTTTTCCACAGTTCTTGCATTTGGATGTTGTTTTCCACAGATCCTGGGGTTTTATCTCCGTGGAAGTGTGGAGGTTCCCTTTTCCCTGCCTGCAGGGCCTTCCAGCCCTTCCTTTTCCCCCATTTTCCTTTTCCCCCTTCCTTTTTCCCCTTTCCTTTTTCCCCTTTCCTTTTTTCCCTTTCCTTTTTCCCTTTTCCTTTTTCCCCTTTCCTTTTTCCCCCTTCCTTTTTCCCCCTTCCTTTTTCCCCTTTCCTTTTTCCCTTTTCCTTTTTCCCCTTTCCTTTTTCCCCTTTCCTTTCCTTTCCTTTCCTTTCCTTTCCTTTCCTTTCCTTTCCTTTCCTTTCCTTTCCTTTCCATCTCTTTCCTGCCACTGACCTCTGCTGGAGCTTTTTCACCACCAGGAATTTGGGGTTTTGTTCCTTCTTTAAATCCCATCGTGTTCCAAGTCTCTTCCTTAGGGGCTAAAATAATTCTGGAGCAAGGTTCAGCTTCCCTCAGCTGCCTCTGAGGGTGAAATTCCCTTTTTTCCACCTTTCCTAGGAGCGTTTCCTGCGGGTGGAGCTGCTCAGTGAGGCTGGGAAGGACAAGGCTGGAGCTGCTATTGCTTGTTGTGTGCCAGGATGCACAAATTCCCTGGAAGTCACCTCGGGGCTGGTGGTGAAGAAGCTCCCGTTGACTCACGTACGTCCCTTCCCTGGGATTTGGGATTTGGGAGCCTTCCCGAGCCATTGCAGTCCCTGTTCTGAGCAGGGATCTCAGCTCCCCATCCATTTCCTGGTGCTCACAACCATGGGTGAATTCCAAGGGGAATTCCAGGATGCACTTCTCACAATCCACTCCATCCCAAAGATCCCATCTGAGGCCTCAGGTGGGCCCAGGTGTGGGGTTTTGCTGTGTCAGATGCCACGTGTGACCCCTGGAGCCCATGGAATGTCCAGGTGGGGCTGGCCCAGGGACAATCCGACCTTTGGGGCCGGGCCTGGCTCTGGTCCCAGCTGGGGCTGGGGAGGCCGAGCTGTGCAGGGAGCACGAGGGCACTCTGGGGAGCACAGGGCCAGCACAGGAGGGAACAGCCTCGGGGGGGACACTGGGGACAGTTCCCTCATGGAAAGGGTTCCCAGTGATGGCAGGGGCTGCCCAAGGCAGGGCTGGGATTCCCATTGCTGGAGGGGTTTCAGAGCCCTGTGCATGTGGCACTTGGGGACGGGGCTGTCATGCCTCAGGTTTGGCTTTTCAATTTTCCCATTCTGTGCTGCTTTAGCGTGTGGGTCTGAGCTTCACATTCAGGGATGGTGAGCTCTGTGCACAGAGCAGGGAGACAAAACAATTCCTGCTCCAGCTGGGCACCAGGGACAAATGACCCAAACCTCAGCCCAGGAGCACAAACCCCGTGGGCTGCAGAGAGAAAAACAAGCAGGGTGGGAGTGCCTGGGCTAAAGCTGGGATGGGACAATGAACTGCAAGGTGCAAATGGAGCAGAACTGATCCCAGGGAGAGACCCCAGGAGCGCTCGTGCATTTTGGGGCCGTTTTGGGTCATCTTGGGTGCAGCCCTGGCTGGGCTCTGGTGCTGCCCAAGGTGCAGCCATGGAGGAGATCCTGTGAATGAATCCCTGATTTATTCTGGAACCCTGCCCAGCCTCTGTCCTAGCTCAGATTCTCAAGGCATCAGTTTGCCTTGGAATAGCTGGACTCAATATCCTTAAAGGTCTTTTCCAACCATTCCATGATTCTCTGTGGGATTTCCTTGCTTTGGGCACATCATGGCTCCCTTCCCTGGATGGTGGCAGAGCTGGGAAAGCTGAGGTTGTGTTCCTGCAGCTTCCTCTTCTCTGAACTCTCCTATTTTCCTCCCACAGAGCGACAGCAGCCAGGATCCAGGGGGATTCCTTTGCCAGGCTTGCACCTGGCTGTTCTTTGGCTCCCTGACCTCACTCACCTCTGTCCCAGCGATCCAGTAGGAGCCCATCCAGCTCTAACAAAGCCCTCCAGCTTCCCAGAGCTATCTGGATGTGGGACAGATCCTCTTGGCACATCCCAGCTCCAAAATCAGGTGGATGTTGGAGCAGGATTTCAGCCCAGCTCCAAATTCCAATTGAATGCTGGACAGGATTTCAACCCAGCTTTAAATTCCAGGTGGATGTTGGAGCAGGATTTCAGCCCAGCTCCAAATTCCAGTTGAATGCTGGACAGGATTTCAACCCAGCTTTAAATTCCAGGTGGATGTTGGAGCAGGATTTCAGCCCAGCTCCAAATTCCAGGTGGATGTTGGAGCAGGATTTCAGCCCAGCTCCAAATTCCAGGTGGATGTTGGATCAGGATTTCAGCCCAGCTCCAAATTCCAGGTGGATGTTGGAGCAGGATTTCAGCCCAGCTCCAAATTCCAGGTGGATGTTGGACAGGATTTCAGCCCAGCTCCACATTCCAGGTGGATGTTGGAGAAGGATGTTCCCAGCTCCAGAGGGACTTCCAGGCTCCCTGGGGACCATGTGATGCCTTTCCTCCAGCCCTGCCTCATCCTCCAGGAGCTGGGAATGGGATTTCCAGAGGAATCTGCACTTTAGGAATGGGTCAGACAGAGCAGGGTTCATTCTGGAACATTCCTTCTCTTCCTCCTGTCACCAGTGTCCAAACTTCCTGAATATTTTATCATTCCTGGAAATCCCTCTGACCCACTGGAAAGAGAGGAAACACAACGCTGGAAAATATCCAAAGAAAGTTAATTTCTTTAAAATGAACTATTCCTGCCCAGCCATGGGAAGAAATCATAAATCTTTCTCAGTTAATTCATTTTCCATCCTTGCAGCCAAGGGATTTCCCTGGATTCTTTCCCTTCTCCCTGCAGCCAACCAGGAAGGAAGAAATGAGGCAGCAGCAGAAAAATTCCTTTGGATTGGTTCCAGCCAAACTCAGGGACAAACTGGAGAGGGATTTCCAGTCCTAAAATTAAATGTGTAGCCAAAAAAAGCCTTGACACTTCCTTAGTGTCTCTTGCCTGCCCCTAAATACCCTTTGTTTCTCAGGAATGCTCAGGTGGATCACACTCTGTGCCTTGTGCCACAACTGCAGAGCCTGTGCCACAGGAAATCCAAACTGAAAGTGCTTCAAGGAATCCGTGCTGGGGCTGTGGGCTGTGCCTGCTGCAGGAATCTCAGACATCCTGGTCTGCTCCATTCACAGAGCTGCTTCCCTCCCTCTCCTTTCACTTTCAAAGCTGCCTCCAGCAATGCATTCCCAAGCCCTTGGGTGTGGATGGGAGCACAAAGGCTGGAGCAGGCAGTGGGTCAGTGCTCCCTGCCAGCCTCTCCTCCTCCCTGGGAACAAACAGGACAGGAGCAGCCAGGAAAAGCCATGGAATTTCAGCTGTTGGATCCCTGCAGCTCCCCAGGCTGTCTGAGACCTGGCAGCTCCAGAGGATGGGACTGAACCCCTCATTTCCACGGTGTCTGATGGGAATGTCCTTGGTGCTGTGGGGATGGATTCATCCCGGTCCAGTCCTTCCCATCCAGTTAAGAAGCCACTGCTCTGTTATTTTTTTATACAAAATATATTTATTTATACATAAAAATAAAGAGCTGCCTTTTCCATAGTGTAAAGGATCAAGTGGATAAAACCTGAATAAGGAAACAAGAAGTGGATAAAACGTTCTGATGGATAAATGGAAAACACACAAAGGAAAATATTCCTAAATTGTGTTATTGGTCCTTGGTGGTGTCTGTAGAGAAGCTGCTCCAGCTTGGACTCCCCTGAGCCGCTGGGATCGGGATCCAGAGCCGGGATCAGGGCTGGGAGTGATTCCAAAGGATCCCTGAGCTCTCTGTGGGCTGGGATGGTCCCAACTCCTTTGGCTCCGGCTCAGTGGCTGCAAGAGAGCAGGAAAGGGATGAGGATGTGGGAAATGCTTGGCTGGTTCTCTCTGCTCTAATTCCTGGGATTTGGGGACAAAGCCAGGAAAAGGATGAGGATATGGGGAAATGCTTGGCTGGGTCCCTCTCCATCCATTTTCTGGGATTTGGGGACAAAGGCAGAAAATGGATGAGGACGTGGGGAATATCTTGGCTGGTTCTCTCTCAGTCTCACTCCTGGGATTTGGGGACAAAGCCGGGAAAGGGATGAGGATATGGGGAAATGCTTGGCTGGGTCCCTTTCCATCCATTTTCTGGGATTTGGGGACAAAGCCAGGAAAGGGATTGGGGAACTGGAAACAGAGAGCAGGACAAAGCCAGGGCTGCACCCAAGATGAACCAAGATGGTCCCAAAATCTTTCACTTGTCTTGATTTGGGACAAAGCTGAGGATGTGGGGAAATGCTTGGCTGGGTGCTCTCCATCTGATTTCTGGGATTTGGGGACAAAGCTGGGAAAGGGATGAGGATATGGGGAAATGCTTGCCTGGATCCCTCTCCATCCATTTTCTGGGATTTGGGGCAAAGCCAGGAAATGGATGAGGATGTGGGGAAGATCTTGGCTGGGTGATCTCCATCTGATTTCTGGGATTTGGGGACAAAGCTGGGAAAGGGATGGGACAGGTATCCTGCTATTCCAACTCTGTCCATGCTCCTGGACAGAGAATGGGAATTACCTGGGGCAGGGCAGCTCAGCTTCATCCCAAACCCCATCCCAACATCCCAACCCTCTCCCTGCCCACCACCAGCATCCCCAGGGCCAATTCCCCCAAATCCCAGTGCAGGACACCCCCCCACCTATGGGCTCATCCATGGGAATCATCCATGTTCAGGCCGGGAAGAGCAGCCACACATCCCTGGCTGCTCCGTGTGCTCTGCCCCCCCTCAGGGAAGCATCCAGAATTCCATCCTCCGGCGTCCCTCGGCGTGGTGGGTGCGCCCAGCGTCCCCAGGGGGGGTGCTCAGCCCGTGGGGACAATGACAGGAGGTGGCACCTCCTCGTTCCCAGAGGGAATTCCCTCCATGGGAATGTCGGTCTCCGTCACGGCGTAGCCCTGCCTGGTGCCTCTGTGGGGGGAAGAGGAGCATCAGTGGCATCCCAAGGCTTTCCTTTGGAAAGCACAGAAGCCTTGGAAAACTCATTGCTGGGGTTTGGCACTTACTTCCTCCTCCTCCTTCTCCTCCTCCTCCTCCTCCTCCTCCAGCAGCAGACGGCCGCAGTTCCGATGGCCAGCAGCGCCAGGAGTCCTGTGGGATGGACACTCAGGGTGAGGAGCATCTCCCAGGCCCTTGCTGAGGAATTCCACCTAAACAGCTCCATGAGGAGCCAAAACCACTCCAGGCACCATCACAGGATCCCTCCCCATCCCCGGAGGGAGGGAATTGGGAATTATTCTTTCCAGGAAAAAATTTGGGTGCTGAATCCTTCCCCCCCTCAGTGGCATTCCCATTGGCCATGGAATAAATCTCCCACAGACCCCAGAAGGGATTTTAAGCTTAAAAAAATTGAAATAAGCCCCTGTTTCCCAAAGACTTTCTTTTCCCCCAGCTTACCAACAGAAGAGGCCACGGACTGGATGGAAACTGGAAAAGAGCAGAGAAAAGGAAATGTTGAGCTGCAAAGGTAGGAGAGGGGTGGATGCTGGGAGGAGCCTCACTAAAAAGGAGGTTGGAGAGAAGGAAAAGTCCCATTGGAAAAGCAAGAGAGCCTTTGTGGATGCACCAGGCCCCAGGGGAGGTTGGCATTCCTGGGGAATCGGCCCAACCTGCGGCATAATCCGAGGGCGGGATGGGCAGCGGGGTTGTCCCCTCTCCCAGCCTGGAGGTGTCCGGTGTTGGAGCCATCTCCGGTGGCCTGGATCCATCTGGGGATGCCCCATCCGGTGCTGGTGGCACAGGTGACTGACTGGGAGCTGGAGAGGGGCTGGAATTCGGGCTGGCACTGGTGGTTCCTGCTGGGAAAGCGGTGGGGAATGTTTAAATTCCCAAAATCAAAAGGCGGCGCCGTTATTTCCGTGCCCTCATGCAGCAGCCACGGAACGCTGGGATTTCACCCCATGGGTGGATCTGATCCCAGCACGGGAATGTTGTGGTTCCCACACCCTGGGAGCTGTGGCTTTGCCGTGGCCATGGCAGCTCCAAACCCAATCCCAATCCCGTTCCTCACCCCTCTGGGTCGTGCTTGCCGCGCCGGGGCTTTCCCTGGAAAGAGCCGGATCTCCTTGGGGAAAACACAACAGGGAGACACCGTCAGCTGGGACATGAACTCTCCAAGTGGTTTGGTAAGTTAGAGAGTCAAAATTATTATATCAAATATATATTGAGGTCCGGAGAAAATTCCACAAATTCCAAAAAATGGATGTTCATTGTCAAATTTTAACAATTTTGATATTTTAGCAAAAGAAGGAATTAATGCTCACTGCCTTCAAGTCATTATTTCCATTCTATCTTCTATTGATTAATAATTTGTCCCTTTTTAATTATCCTAATTGATCCATACTTTCATATCCATATTTTTAATTATGTTTTCCCACATCGGGCACCTCTGCCTTATGCAAAGTCTCTTTGTGGTTTATAAATTCAAGTCATTAATTACCATTCTATCTTCTATTGATTAATAATTTGTCCCTTTTAAATTATCCTAATTAATCCATACTTTCATACCCATATTTTTCATTATGTTTTCCCACATTGGGCACCTCTGGTTTATGCAGAGTCTCTTTGCGCTTTATAAATTCCGCGTTCCTCCTGGTGTTCCATCCTCAACAATAAATTCCTCCCCCAGGTGTGGGAGCACTGAAGGATGCGAGGCCCTAAACTTTTGTTTTGCCAAGCCATTATCCATTAGGAATTCCACGGATTAAATTCCTCTCCATAATTCCCCCGTTTCTGATTCTTTTGGAGGAAACAGAACTTGGGTGGCGCTCGCCTTTCTTCCCATCCTCCATCCTCCTGTTTGGAGGTGTCCCAGCTTCCCCCGAGGACTCACGGATGCACTGGAGGGTGGGGTCGGTCCAGCGGGGCTGGGAGCCGTTCCAGAGGACGCACTGGATGAGGCTGGAGGTTCCAGCTTTGCGTTTGTAGCCGGGGTTGCAGGAGTAGCGCAGGCGGGAGTTGAGCTCCGTGCGGTGCCCGGCGTCGATGTGAGCGTTGGCCACGGCCTTGGGGGGGCTGCAGTGCACTGGGATGGGAAAAAAACATGGAATCACAACAGGGAGATGAGAAAACCTCTGGCTGTGCTGGGCAATTCCCCACCCCTCATCCCTGGAAGTGTCCAAGGGTGGGTTGGACGGGGCTTGGAGCAGCCTGGGATAGAGGAAGGTGTCCCTGTCCATGGTGGAACATGGAATGAGGTTATCCCTAAATTCCCTTCCAACCCAAACCTTTCCATGAAGCTGTGAAATGCTGCCTAGAGGTGGATATAGGGATTTATCCATCCTGCAAAAGTAAAGGAACCTCATGCCTGACACAGGGCATAGAGAAAGGGAAAATATTCCCAGCATTTTTGGGATCCCTTGTAGCAGCTGCTCCAGAGGCTGGAGAAAGGGAAAACTCCACTTCTGGCATGTTTGTGGTCACTCAGCAGCTCCTCCAGCCAGCAAGGAATTTTGATGGAATTCCATCCCCTTGCAGTGACTGTCCCAGGCCAGCAGCCCCAGCTGCCCCCAGCTGCTGAATTCCAGCTGTGGTCACTGCCCCAATCCTTCCTTCTCCACTCATTTCACAGCTGGACGTGAAAAATTCCAGCTGCTGGTGAGTCCTCCAGCCTCTTCCCAGGAGTTTTCCCCCTCTGGAAGGTGGCAGCTGAAATCCAAGTACTCCAGACAGAGGGACAGCATGGATTTTGAGTTGGGGCTTTGCTTTTCCCCAAACGAGCTCCTGCTTCCCCTTCAGCCTCAGGATGAGCTCGGTTCCATAGCAGGGTGATGAAATTTCCACTCTTTTCTGGTGCAAGGGGCAAAATTTCCTGGTTGCTCCAAAGCTGTGCCAGCTCCTGGATCCCTGTGGTGGTGTGGGAACAGCTCATGATCCTGGGATGGGATGGATGGAACAGCTCATGATCCATCCCTGGGATGGGATGGATGGAGCAGGATGGAGTGGTGGATATCTGGGATGGGATGGATGAGCAGGAGGAAGCATTGGAGATATCTGGGATGGGATGGATGAGCAGGATGGAGTGGTGGATATCTGGGATGGGATGGATGAGCAGGAGGAAGCATTGGAGATATCTGGGATGGGATGGATGAGCAGGAGGGAGTGATGGATATCTGGGATGGGATGGATGAGCAGGATGGAGCATTGGAGATATCTGGGATGGGATGGATGAGCAGGAGGGAGTGATGGATATCTGGGATGGGATGGATGAGCAGGATGGAGCATTGGAGATATCTGGGATGGGATGGATGAGCAGCATGGAGCAATTGAAGATATCTGGGATGGGATGCACAGATGGGATGGATCCATGCAGGGCTGGGATGTGAAGTGTGGAGCAATGGGAAGTAGGGATAGGATGGAGCAGTGGATATCTGGGATGGGAAGGAGGGACAGGATGGAATGATGGATATCTGTGAAGGAGGGATAGGATGGAATGATGGATATCTGGGAAATAGGAATGATGGATATCTGGAAAGGAGGGATAGGATGGAATGATGGATATCTGGGAAATAGGAATGATGGATACCTGGCATGGGAAGGAGGAACGGGATGGAATGAGGCATGGCCAGGCTGGATGATGAGTTGGTGCCTGCCATGGATGGAACAATGTCCAGCTGGGATGGAGCAGTGTCCAGCCAGGAGGAACACACAGCTGGGCTGGGATCATTATGGAATAGAGGTGGAAGAACACTGGGAATGGGAATGCCATGGCAGGGAGGACAGGAGCACGCAGGGATGGGAATGTGCCGGTGACAGGGACAGGAGTGTGATGGCAGCGGGGATGGGAGCAGGATGGGGATGGGAACAGTGGGAATGAGAGCAGGATGGGAATGGGAACAGTGGGAATGGGAACAGGATGGGAATGGGAACAGTGGGAATGGGAGTAGGATGGGAATGAGAACAGGATGGGGATGGGAACAGTGGGAATGGGAACAGGATGGGGATGGGAGCAGGATGGGAATGAGAGTAGGATGGGGATGGAAACTGTGGGGATAGGAGCAGGATGGGGATTGAGAGCAGGATGGAAATAGGAGCACAATGGGGATAGAAACAGTAGGAATGGGAACATGGGGTTGGAAGCACAGTGGGCATGGGAACATGATAGAAACAGAGGGGATGGGACCAGGATGGGGAACTGGAAACAATGGAGATGGGAACAGAATGGGGAATTGGAAACAATGGAGATGGGCACAGAATGGAGAACTGGAAATCGTGGGAATGGGAACAGAATGGGGAATTGGAAACAGTGGGGATGGGAACAGAATGGGGAACTGGAAATCGTGGGAATGGGAGAAGGATGGGGAAGTGGAAATAGTGGGGATGGGAACAGAATGAGGGACTGGAAACAGTGGGGATGGGAGCAGGATGGGGACTGGGGCTGGGACAGTGGGACAGCAGCTGGGGATGGGCACCGGGGACAGGGGCACAGCAGCAATGGAGGCAGGAACACAACGTGCACCCGCAACACCCAAAACATCCAGAGATAAAAATCTCCATCCTGAAAACTTCCTGCCCCAATTTGTGGTGCATCCCCAGAACATCCAGGAGGAATCTGCTCCGTTTCCCAGGTGGATCTGGGTGTGATCCTGGCCAGAGGACACGAGTGACATGGGGACGTGCATGTGCCGAGTGCAGCAACTCTTGGTCTCCTCTCAAGATGAGGGTGAAATTCCTGGAATCAGCAGCTCTTGGAACCAGGAAATGCCTGCCTGAGGATGTTTCACAACAGTGTCACAACTCACCAGACCTGGCACTGTGCCCTTAGTCAGTGAAAAACCCTCCTGGTGCCAATTCCAGCTGCGCCTCCAAAGGGAGCACAGCAGGAAATTCAGCTGGAAACACCAAAAATGTCCAGGAAAATCCAGGATCTGCGAGCTGTGTTTATGTCTTCCAGCTTAAACCTCCTCTCCTCATCCCAATCCTTCCAAAGAGGGTTTTTTTTAACAATTGATTAGAATCTCCTCTTCTAAAAAATGCCCAAGTTGTTCCAACAAGATCCCAGCAGCGCCGCTCTCCGGGATCACCATCCTGTGTTCACACCATCCATGGATTTCAGCTTGTTTGATGAGACAGAACACGTTCCAAAGGGGAAAAGGGGAGGAATCAGCTGGAGATGCAGGATTTAGGCTTTAATCCCTCAGGAATGAGTTGGAATTTCCCATGGATGGATCATCCCAGTGCTCAAAGACTCATCCCGTGCTTGGCCAACTCCCGAAGGAGCTGCGGCGCCGGGAGCTGACCATCCCAGGAAAACACCTCCAGCTGCCTGATTTCCATCTGGATTCCCTGCATCCTGCTGGGATTACATATCCAGGTTGGAATGTGCCTGATATCCATGGAGTTTGCATTTCCATGGATTTTTTCCTTCTCTCTTTCTTGTCTTTCCCCACCAGTGACCTCCAACGCTGCCGGTTGTGGAGGATGAGCTCATCCTGGCACGCTGGGAAGCAGAACAGGGAATACAGCCAGGATGATCCCTGGCATGGAGATGCTGCCATGTGATGCCATTCCATGTCCAAAGACAGCTTCCCAGGGATGCACAGCCACAGCTGGACACTGGAGAATCCGCACCACGAAAAACTTGGCTGTTCTCCTTAAAAAATGATCAGGAAAAGCCCCAGAGAGGTGGGGGTTTCCTGCTCAAAATTTAAAAGCCATGAGCAAAAACAAAAGTGGAGAAAAGAGGAATTTCATAAATCTGGATGCAAGAAAAATCCATGAGAAATGCCAAAATCACGGAAATCGATAAAACTTCCACATTTCAGCTCAAAAACATTTCCAATTGAGCAGGGGAGGACAGGATGCCCAGTGGGAACATTGTGTGATGCAACAGCACATCCCAACTTGTCCATCACGTGAACTAAAAGAAATAAGTATTATTTATTTTCTCTAACACCACCTAAACCCATGGGTTTTGCCCCAAAGAACGATCCTGGTGGCAGCACTGCTGCCTGGAATGTTGTCAGGGTGTCTGGGATCCGTGGTCGGTGAGGAAAGACTTTGGAGGGCTATTTTTAGCTTGTTCCTGAGGCTCAGGGCTCATGTTTTCCCCGTGCATGGCACTCTTCTGGCTTATTTTGGTCACCCAAGACTTTTACATTCCTGGCCATTTGTGTCGTTCTGTTATAAATATAACAGAATATAAATATATATAAATATAAATTCATTTTCCAAGGCTTCAGGAGCCCACAGGAGCTCGGAGAACAGTGAGCACTGAAGCTGTCCCAAAGCTCTGCATTCCCTTCCAGCCTTATTTCACAGAACCCTTCACAGCTGCCACATGATCAGCAAATGAAGCATTTCCTAATGGTCCTGCTGCTTCCAGGAGCTCCTGGGAGGATGCACCAAGGTGTAGTTCCAAGGCCCAAGCTGCGATGAGAATCTTCCCAAAGATCCAAGAGCAACAGAGCTGGGGAAGGGTGTGGAGAACCAGGAGGGGCTGAGGGAGCTGGGCAGGGGCTGAGCCTGGAGCAAAGGAGGCTCAGGGGCCCTGGTGGCTCTGCACAAGTCCCTGCCAGGAGGGCACAGCTGGGGAACAGGGACAGGAGCAGAGGGAACGGCCTCAGGCTGGGCCAGGGCAGCTCAGGGGGGATTTTAGGGAAATTCCTCCTGGAAAGGGCTGTAAAGCATTGGGATGGGCTGCCCGGGGCAGGGGTGGAGTCCCCATCCCTGGAGGGATTTAAAGCCCTGTGGATGTGACACTGGGGACAGGGTCAGTGCTGGCCTTGGCAGCGCTGGGTTAATTGTTACACTCAGTGACCTTGAAGGTGTCTTTCAGCCGTCATGATCCAGCGATCCCAGGGTTTTGGGCTTTTGGAGAGGCAGGACAGTGATGTGACATTCCAGGCTCAGCAGCCACGGACAACTCCCAGTGCCGTGGGAAACCCAGGGAGCGCAGCCAGGCTGAAATCCCACAGTGCTGCAGCTGCCATGGTCCGGCACAGATCCTGGAGAGCCCCCCTGGACACTGGCAGGAGGTGGTGTGGGAATGCCCGGAGCCAGGTGAGCACCCAGGGAACGAGGGGCTGCAGCCTGGGGGGCAGGAAGCACCCAGGGAGAGGTGTGGGAACGCAGGGAGCAGCGTGGGCACCCCAGGGAGCAGCAGGGACACCCCAGAGATGCCATGGACACCCCAGGGAGCAGCATGGACAACTCAGGGATGGCATGAACACCCTGGAGAGCAGCCTGGGCACCTCGAGTGGGAGCTTGGGTACCCCCAGGGAGTAGCATGGGCACCCCAGGGATGGCATGGACACCCCAAGGAGCAGCAGGGACACCCCAGGTGTGGCATGGACACCGCAGGGATGCCATGGGCACTCCAGGGAGCAGCAGGGACACCCCAGGTGTGGCATGGACACCCCAAGGAGCAGCACAGATACTCCAGGGAGCAGCATGGACATCCTGGAGAGCAGCCTGGGCACCTCGAGTGGGCACTTGGGTACCCCAGGGAGTAGCATGGGCACCCCAGGGATGGCATGGACACGCCAGAGAGCAGAACAACCATCCAAGACAGCAGAGAAAGCATCTTAGGGATGGCACGGCCACCCCAGGGACAGTGTGGGCACCCCAAATGGGAGTTTGGGTACCCCAGGGAATAGCGTGGGTAGCCCGGGAAGGGTAGCGGGCCTCCCGGGGATCGGCACCGGCATCCCGGGGAGCAGAGCGGGCAACTCGGGGATTGGCACCGGCATCCCGGGCAAGCGGAGCGAGCACCTTCGGGACCGGAGCAAACACCTCAGGGACGGCACGGGCAGCCCAGGGAGAGCGTGGGCACCGCGGCGGGAGCTTGGCAGCCCCGGGAGTGGCGCGATCCCCTGCGGAAGCCGGGCAGGCTCACCTGGGAGCGGAGCGGGGATCCCGGGAGCACCGCGGGCATCCCGGGCAGCGGAACGGGCACCCCCGGGGCGGAGCGGGCACCCGGGCAAGGCGGAGGGACCCCGGAAAGGGAGCGGGCAGCCGCGGGAAGGCGCAGCGCTCCCCGGAGGGTGTGGACGCCGCGGGCAGGGCTCGGAGCGGGCGGCGGGAGCCCGGGGCAGCCCCGCTTACCGGAGTCGGCGGCGGCGCGGAGCAGCAGGAGCGCGGCGGTGCCGCAGAGCAGCGGCAGCAGCGGCGGAGCCATGGCCCCGGGCCGGGCCAGCTCCGCGAGCCGGCGGCAGCTCCGTGGCGCTTCCCTGCCGCTGTCGCCGTCCCGGTGCGGCCCCGGCGGTTTCGCTTTCGCTTTCGAGTCGGGCACCGGCAGGGACGCGCCGCCCTGAGGGGTGGGCAGCGGGACGGGGAGGGGATGCGGGCTCCGGGAGCGGCGGTGCCGGGGGGGGTTCGGGACCCGAGCGGAATTCGGTGCCGGGGACCGACTTGTAATACAATACCCGGAAAGGGATGAAACACAGGGATGCAGCACCCAGCGCGTGTGAGATGCCCTGGGAGGAAAAGGATGAAATTTTGGGGTTCGTGACCCGCGGGGTGCAGTACCGGCTGGAGGAAAGGGGACGGGGATCTTCTCTCTGCCCTGGAGAAAGCAGTGCCTGGGGAATGCGAGACTGGGGTCACTGCGATAGCCGGGACGGCCGCGGTTCTCTTGGGGTGCAAGGGATCCAATCCCGGCAGGAGAGGGGGCAGCGCTCCCTGCCCGGGGAAATGTGCTGTCCAAGGGAATCGCGGAGTCCCGAGGGATGCCGAGGATTCCACGAATCCCAGTCCTGGAGATGGAACGTGCTGGTCCCCACACTAATCTCCAAACCGGGAAACAAGCTGTGATCCAGCCCTGCAAGTTCTGCAGAGCTCCTGCAGTCAGGCTCTATCCCACAGCATTCCCAGGACTCAGATCCTGCTCACAACAAATCCTGCCCAGCTCAGCTCTTTCCTCGTGGCCTCTTTATTCTCACATGTTTGGTTTTTTATTTATTTTATCAGTGAGTATCAGCAAATAGCCCCACGTGTCTAGGAAAGGGAAAGCAAAGGGTAACTTGGATAACATTTCATGGCCAAATCTTCATGACAGGGGGATAAATTCTCCCTCTGCCCCCAAGGAAAGAGAATTAACCTCAATGAGCCCTCCCTGAAGCAGAAGAGAGGCTGTTGAGAATTGGAGATTTCTGTGCTGTGAATTGGAGATTTCTGTGCTGAGAATTGGAGATTTCTGTGCTGGGAATTGGAGATTTCTGTGCTGGGAATTGAAGATTTCTGTGGTGGGAATTGAAGATTTCTGTGCTGGGAATTGGAGATTTCTGTGCTGGGAATTGGAGATTTCTGTGCTGAGAATTGGAGATTTCTGTGGTGGGAATTGGAGATTTCTGTGGTGGGAATTGGAGATTTCTGTGCTGGGAATTGGAGATTTCTGTGCTGAGAATTGGAGATTTCTGTGCTGAGAATTGGAGATTTCTGTGCTGCCAGCACTGACCCCCAGAGAACCCTGCACTGCCCTGAGGCCTGGAGAAGCTTCCAGAATGGAATGATGGAACTGGGACTGTGGGTGTGCAGTTTGAACAGGAGTGTGTGATAGCACAGGGGGGGAAACCCAGAGTTTAAGGGTTTAGAATGCAGTAATAGATATATAGATACAGATATAGATATACAGTATATATAGTGTATATCTATATATAGATATATACTATATATCTATATATTGACATATATATATTGATATATATACATATATAGTAGATGGATGGATAGATAGATAGATAGATAGATAGATAGTATATATCCTATATATCTATATATTTACATATATAGATATATAGTAATAGATATATAGTAATAGATTTATAGATATAGATATAGATATAACAAGATAGAGATTTTAGGGTGGTGACTACTTCTTCTTCTTCTTCACCTTCTTCTCCCTGGGTTTGGGTGGTGTTGTGTAATTGGATAAAAAAGTCCACATTGCAGGCCACAGGTAGTTAGTCATCAAGTTAAAAGTAAAAATAATTTAAGTATAATTTCTTAACTAAACATTTTATCCTTAAAAAAACCTTCTAAAGAAAGAGATACAACTCCATTTTTTGGTTTTTTGAGTGAAATATATAAAACTCACAATTTGTGAGACCGTAATAGAAATAAGAACCAGAAGCAGGAAATATCTGAATCCAAGCAAGAAATGCTGTCTCATACATTTAATCCCGACCCTAACAAAAAGCAAACAAACCCAAACCACAAAAATCTCACCACGAAGATGTTGAGGAAGAGCAAAGAGAGGATGCAGGGAGCTACAGTGCTGCTACCTGAGATAACCCTCAGCTGCAGGGCAGCTCCCTGCATCCTCTGTTTGCTCTTCCTCAACATCTTCATGGTGAGATTTTTGTGGTTTGGGTTTGTTTGCTTTTTGTGAGGGTCGGGATTAAATGTATGAGACAGCATTTCTTGCTTGGATTCAGATATTTCCTGCTTCTGGTTCTTATTCTGAGGGCTACCCCAGTGCCCAGGGTGCCTGCTGACGCCTGTGGCTGTACTCTGGACGGGCTGGGAACCCACAGGATCCCAGCTGTGAAAAACAATCAGCAGGGCAGGGTTCACAGCACTCTGTGCACAGCTCAGCCTGCTCAGCTCAGCTTGGGGCAGAGAAAATTCAGCCTGCAGGGGAAGACTTTGCCTTTCCTCTCAAGAACTCCTCCAAAGGAAATAAACAATCCAGTTGTGTCTGAACTTTCCAGATGAGGGTTTTGGTGCTGCTGATGCCAACGAGCTCTGCAGCTGCTAATCTTCCAGAAGATAAGCACAGCTGGGTGAGAGTTCACCTGCAGGGCTGTGATCCCTCGGGGCAGGGAAGGGCACTTTTTGCAATACCTTCCATGGAAATCCTCCAGCCTTTTCATGAAAAACCAGAGCTAGGGAATGATTGGCTGCTCAGGAACACACTCAGTGCAAGTGGCAGATCCAGCTCTGCGTGGTGACAAGAGGATGTGAGCTGGGGACCAGAGGACATGAGCTGGGGACCAGAGGACATGAGCTGGCACTGACCAGCAAAGGGACAGCACCCAGGGAATGGCTCCCACTGCCAGAGGGCAGCCATGGGTGGCATCTTGGCAATGAGCAATTCCTGCCTGGGCTGGCATTGCCAGAGCAGCTGGGGCTGCCCCTGATCCCTGCAGTGCCCAAGGCCAGGCTGGAGCAGCCTGGGATGGTGGGACTGGAATGGGATGGGCTTGAAGGGCCCTTCCCACCCAAACCATTCTGGGATTTGGGACACTCAGAATCCATCCCCAGGGATTTTTATGGAAGTTGGGGATGGCAAAGGGAAGGGAGACCCTTCCTGGAGTGCTGAGGTTCCCAGTGAAGCCCCCAGACCCCAAAATTCCTTCCTAGAGAGGAGTCGGGGTGGGGATGGATCCAATGGCAGGCTGGGAGAGCTGGGAATGGAGGGAATTCCCTGGAGAGGGAGCCTGGGGTGGGATTTTGGGAAGGGATTCCCAGAGCAGCTGGGGCTGCCCCTGAGCCCTGCAGTGGCCAAGGTTGGACACTGGGGCTGGAGCAGCCTGGGACAGGGGGAGCTGTCCCTGCCATGGATGGGGTGGCACTGGATGATCCTTGGGATCGTTTCCAAGCCATTCTCAGATCCCATGATTTCCCATAAGTCATCAGGAAGTTTCCACCCTGGGACAACTCAAGATGGGAATTACTGGAAGATTTTGTTTTCAAAGCTCTGCTAACAATGGTACATTTCCACTCGGGATGATTCCAGGCTGTGACACTCCAAGCCTTCAGGGAATGAGAATTATCCCTTGTTCCTCACCTTGCTCAGGCAGTTGGGGCCCTTGGTATGGACAATTCTCCCACCTTTTCCATGCATCAGTTCCTGGGGGGGTCAAGGGCTTCTTCCCTGTCCAGCTGGTTTGGTGAAGGGACATTTCAGCATCCAGGTGGGAATTCCTGAGGCCCCCCCAGCAGCTCCAGGGAAGGGAAGCTGGAGGATGCAGCAGCACAGGGGGAAGGGTTGAGGAGTTCCAGGTTTCTCCTTGGATGCAGCTCATGGAAGGGTTTTGTGTTCTTGCATGTTTCTCTTGAACTGGAGATTCCTGGGTAAAAAAAGCTGGATTTTAAGTCAGGGCTAGAGATTAGTGTCCAAAGCAAGACAAACTCCTTGTTTTAAAGCACCAGGGATGAGGATCCATCTCCTTCCAGGATAAAAATATTTCATATTTCTTTGTGTTCTTATTCCAGAAACAGAAACCAAAACTCTGCCTCAAGGAGCAGAATGGTCCAAACCCCAGTGATTAATCAGCTTTTGTTTATCTGGGAGGATTTAAGCAGGATTTACCTAATTTCTTATCAGCTCTCACAGGTTCCTGCACTGAGCACTGAAAACATGCTCAGGATGTGAGTTCATCCTCCCAGGAATATTTGGGACTGTGAATCACCCCTGCTATGTGCTCAGAGAAAATGGTCCCAGGAAATGGTCTGTGTTTGGCAGCCTGGGATGGTTTCCCATCAGGTTAATTACTTTCATTTTAATTACCTCCTTTTAATCCAGCAAGGAGCAGTTGCTGGGCCCAGATTCTGTCCCGAGGCAGCGCTGCCCATTGCACTCAGAGACACCTGGAAAAGTCAAAATATTGCCCTGGGAATGAAGAGAAAGGAAAAAATTCCAGTGGTAACATTTTGTGCCATGGGAATTATGATTTTTTTTTTTAATGAGAGGAGAAGAAGGAGAAGGAGAAGGAGAAAAGGAAGGAGAATGGGGAGGAGAAGGTGAAAAGGAAGAAGGAGAAGGAGAAAAGGACAGAGAAGGAGAAAAGGAAGGAAAAGGAGAAAGAGAAGGTGAAAATGAAAGAGAATGAGGAGGAGAAGGTGAAAAGGAAGAAGAAGGAGGAGGAGGAGAAGGAGAAAAGGAAGGAGAAGGTGGAAAGGGAGAAGGAGAAGGAGAAGGAGAAGGAGAAGGAGAAGGAGAAATGAAAGAGAAGGAGAAGGAGAAAAGCAAGGACAATGAGGAGAAGGTGAAAAGGAATGAGAAGGAGAAGGAGAAGAAGGAGAAGAAAGAGGAGAAGATCCAGCGCTAAGCTTTGCAAGGTCATTCTCTCATAAAAGCTAACATACACCACATGTAACACTTGCTGCAGTTTTACAAACAAACATTTCCTGTTTTGGCTGGGATTTGGCAGAATTGGTAAAACGAGGTGTCTGTGCTGCATTTGTGACCTCAGGCTAGAGAGATTCCAGCCTTCCCGAGGGAAATCCCTCCCTGCTGGACTGTCAGGAGTGTGACACTCCAGGAATGCAGCAGGAGCAGCAGGGTGGATGGGCTGGGCTGGGCTCAGGGGATCTCCGGGGGGATGTTCTCATTTCAGCTCGGTTTCCCTGCGAGGGAAAGCACCCGTGAAACCACCGGGTTATTTTGGTGTTGCTTCAGGTCTCAGCTTCTGGTCTGGGAACTTTCAGTTCTCAGATGTGAGGCTGCTTTTGAGAAGCAGCCTTTTCCCAAACAGGAGGAGCAGATTTTGGTCCCAGGTTTTATTTAATCCAATTCAATTATTTGATGCTGCTCTAGGAGGGAGGAGCACTGACAAAACAGGAGGTTGTGAAAATTCCAGCTGGAGGCTCGGACACATCCCCTTTTCCCTGAAATAACATTCCCAGAGGGTTTCTCCTGCGACAAAAAGAATTCATACATTGTTTTGTTCTCTGAGGGTGAGAAGGAAAAGGGAAGATTTTATGGACCCTTTCACCTTCACTTTCTAGGAATAAATAAATGTCCACCACATGGGGTTTGTTTCCTTTTACCCTTCTTTTTAAAGTTTATCTTTAAAGTCTATAATTATCAAATTCCACTTGGCTCTGCTACCAACAGCTGTGCATTCTGATAGCTTGGGAATCTTGAATATGAGCCTGTGCTAAATCACTGGAAAAACTTGTACAGAAACCCAAATATTCCCCTTGGAATCAAAGCTGGGATGTTCTCCTTGGCCTCTACAAGCACTTGAAGGAGATGATGTGTTGAAGAGGAAGAAAAACTGCTGGAAAAACTTGCCTGTGACATTTGTTGAGGGATTTGCTTTGGAACAATTCCTCTTCCTGCAGGTGGCTGAGATTACAAAACATCGAGTTTTAGTGGAAACCCCGGAGTTGGGAGCGTGGCAGGAACAGGCTGGGAAGCATCCACAGCATCCCTGTGGGTGGTTGTTTTTCCTTCCTCATCCTGGGAGGATAAATCCTGGGATAAATATCCTGGATGTGGGATAAATATCCCACTATTATATTATATTATATTATATTATATTATATTACATTACATTACATTACATTACATTACAGCATTATATCATATTATATTCTATATTGTGATGTGTAATATATCTAATGTTATACACATATAATATATAACATATTTAATATATGATACTATATAATAAAATATAATTTATAATATATGAGAAATATAAAAAACATAAAATAATTTAATATATTAAGTATCTTAAATATATTGATATATTTAATATCTATTAAATGTATTTAATATGGAATACATTTTATATATTATAATAATGCCTGTTGTAAGTGTTATATATATAATGTAATGCAATGCAATGCAATGCAATAATATAATATAATATAATATAATATAATTATATATATTATTTATATCTAATATCTAAAATATATATAATTATTATATCATATTCATATTATAATATAAACACTAATATATTATATAGAATTTAGTATATTATGTAAAATATATGTTATACATTATATAAAATATAACATATTAAATAAAATAAAAGTATATTTTAAAATAATAGAGAATATATTATATAATGTGTATTATATATTACATATTACATATTATATATTATTTTATATCTTATATCTTATATATTACATATCACACATATTATATAACATATAACATATAAAATAAATTATTTTTAAAATAATGTATTATATATCACAGGTGTATTTTTGCCCTGAATTTCCCTGTCCCTGGGGTTTGGAATGCAGCACACAATTCCCTCATGGAAAAACAAGGGAAAAGGGGGGCAGCTTTTAGATGGAAGTTCCCAAATCCCTCAGGTCAGTCCATAAAATCCAATCTGAGCTCTGGCAGCACTGCCAGTCTGCATTCCCAGTGGGATGGGAATCACTTCTGTAAACTGGAGATCCCAAAAATGCTGAAGACAGGGAGTGGGGAAGGGAAACCAGAAATGGGAATGGGGAAGGGAAACCAGAAATTTAAACAATCCCTGACATTTTTAGGTTGATTTCTTTCCTCAGTTGGAGGGGGAAAGGCACTGAATGAACCCATTCACCAGTCCAGTCTCTTTATCTGGAAACCATGGAGTTTACCTGCATTTATT